TTGATTGTATACCTCTAAAAAAACCAAGGTCAAGCACATTAAAATCAGGACTTTGAGCTGGCTGGCAAATCAATCTGATATTGAACCCAAAAGAAGTTGCAGCCTCAATGAATATTTCATCATGCACACTAATATGAGGCCTAGCATTATCTTGTTGAATCCATATATCTTTGCATGCATATGATGGCCATTTTTCCCTTATTGCTGGCAGTAATGTATCAATCATTTTTGACCTGATTACTTCTTTGGTCACACTTTGAATTGCTTTTGTTTCCGGGGTGCCGGCTACTCTATTAGCTGAATTTCTTTGTGCATATACCACCTCTGTGAATGGGAAAATCCCAATTTTGCCATCCCATATTATCTCACCTTCAACTGAAACCTGTGGCCTGCCAACAGCAGCCATAAACATGACTTTTCCAATGAATTTTTTGTTTTGGCAGCTTCTATACGGATCATCCTGCCAAGGAAATAAGTAAAACTTTTGTGTTTGTTGTGACATGTAGAACCACTTCTCATCTATATGGATAACATTGTACATTGCTGAAAATTTTGGGATTGTATGGACTGTACTTGGCATAACCTGACCCATGATGTGTTGTAGGCGCTTTATCATGTGTGAATGACTTAGTTTAGGCTTGATGCTATTTGTATGAGCTCTAAGTTGTCCAGTTTTTAGCAACCTATAAACCGTTGAGTGACTGATTCCAAGTGAAGTAGACAAAGATCTAATTGTTGTTCTCTTTTCAAGGGGCACACCATGAAGCGTCTCTAAATTAAAAGGTTGAGCTTTCCTTCCACTCCTTCCCTTTTTCTTATTTTGAACATTAATCAGTGTACCCCTATCAACTTGAACTTTTGTTGCAGACCATAATCTCATTTATTTTAGAAACTTCCACTCCTTCCCTTTGTTACATCCTTCCCAAATTGATTTGCAAAATTGATTTTTTTAGTCAAATAATTTCATTTTATTCATTTAATTTGGATGTCAATTTTTAACAATATTTAATTTGGAGTTTGCAACTTTAAAGGTATTTCAATGTAGTTTTTGAATATGCAAATTTTAATTATTAAAAATTGAATTAAGTATCAATATTGAGAATTTAACTTTACCATTGGTTGACCAAAAAATCTTGATTTTGTAAATCAATTTATTGGGACGGAGAGAAATATTACTTTGCTTTCGAACCGATTGTTCTTCTACAACATTTTCTATCGTGTGATTTTTAGATTCAAAATATACTATTTTGATTTTAATATACTACGTATATTTTTTGATTAAAAGTTTAGATATTTTCAATATTTGTTGTGATTCTATTTCAATTGTTTTTACATATCTCAGTTCGATTTTTTCCCGGGTTCAACCCAACCTGATCTGAACCCAAACCGAACCCGAGGCTCTTAAAATCCGGACCAACCCGAAAGTATTGGTCCTCTGGTCGGGCCCAAAAATGTAGAACCCGATTCTTTTCAGGTTTTTTACGGTCCTAGCCAAAACCTGACCCAACCCGCACCGACCCGATCCCACCCCTAATTGAAAGCTCTCTTCAGGATTGGTTCTTGGGTCGAGCACATGTTCACTTGGTCAGTTGTTGACCCCACTGATGAACCTTTCACAAATTAGATACTTCAATGTATGTGTGTACAGGGGCAAAGCTCTGAATTATTTTCGATTTGATATATTATGGCTTTCGTAACTCATTACGAATAAAAAATTATGAGTTCTGGAAAACCAACACTATCTAAACTTAAAATTAATAAAATTTGATGTGTAATACTTATTATATTCTCATTACTTATGTGATATGACTTAGGGACAGAGTAAAGATAACTTATCTTACTGCTACGAGTGCCTTTTCAATAGTTGATTCTTTTCTAGTAAGAAATCGTGATATTAAACCGAGTGAGATGGAAATATAGAGTTCCAGGGTAAGACAAATGTCTCATCCGATGCAACCACCGGTGCGGAAACCGGTCGACTAAATTTGTATAAAACAAATTTGTAATATATATGACATATATATATCAACTATATAACTCTATTAATCTCATTTAAACTACCATTTATCTAATCTACATTCAATTCTGGTAGTGTCTAAAAATGATCTACCATTATCATCATGTATAAAGTTGAATTTGGACCCCCTCAATTGTTTTTTGGGCTCCGCCCCTATGTGTACCTACCACTTTCCTTTTTACTTCGTATTATCTATCTAGAAATCTTTACGGTAGCAGCGCTAAAGCAGCATTTGGCCGAACGAGCGATTTTGTACTGAATTATACTATTTCCTAGTAGTATTTAAAATCGAGTCGCGCACAAGAGAGAGTCATTTTATTCAAAGACTCTATGCGCATACACTTGGTTATTAATACTTCCTACGTTGCACTTAACTTTGCCATTTTTTTTGTTTGTTCCAAAAAATATTGTCACTTTTCTTTTAAAGTAATGAACTTGTGACTATGTTCATTTCATTCTCCTCTGTACAAATCTGAATCGCACAGTTTTTACTATTATAATTTCACACCCAACCATTTGACAAAGTTGAGTGGGACGGAGTTAGTAAATGACGTTCTCTTTTTATAGACAAATTGAACGGATAACCTGGCATTTGTACAAATTGTTTTTCTATCTTCCAAAAGGTTGAATCTCAACCTCAAGGACCCCCACGCCCCAATTAAACAAAGCATTTGGAAGGTTGTAAGTCACAGTGACTCGGTCAGTCCAATTGTGATAGACCTTGTACCCGTGCACACCAAAGATCTAGTCCAGCATGCAGAAGCTATAACATTCGCACGATCGCTATGCCTGGACCAATTTTCAAACTTTTCAATCACTCACCCAACCAACCAACTGAGCTGCAAATATGAGTTACATATTGTATTGTTATTCTAGATGTTTTATGAGGTTGTTCAAGATTCGTCGCAATTAATTAATTCACCAAATCAAAGACCACTTAATTACATCTATGAGCAAACAAATGCATGCATCATGGGGAAGGATGTGACATAAAGTGAAAGAGAAACTCTCCATATTGTCTCACACGATCAAATAAATGAGGAATTGAATTGATTGCATTACAGAATGTATGTATGGGCAATTGGAAGCCTCTTTGCTTACACATGTTATCCGTCCTTTTAGACTAGGTAAATTCTACCATATGGGGTTCCACCCTTTCAACTTGGAACGTGTTTGTTATGCTTTTTAGAAGCAATTCTTTTTTTTTTTTTTTATAAACCGTGAATTTATACTAGTATATAAAGAACACCATGACCATAAATTTATTAATACTCCTTGCGATGAAGACGAGCCACGGAAGCCAGGGAAGATGGTCGTTGAGGAGATGAAGCGTGCGTTGGCAGAGGAGCAGATAACGAAGCAGCCACCGGAGTAGAGAACCAAGTAAAAGGCTCCGGCATATTAAACAGACGATACGAATTCACCGGATGCGGAATTTGAAGACCTGGCCGAAAATGAAGCCCTGGCGTGACAGGGAGTTCGTCCGAGACGGACGAGGCTGAAGACGTCTGCACTAGGGCCGTTAACGAACTGAGCTTTTATCGAACTACTCGAGTTCAAGCTCGGTTTCAAACCTAACTACTTGAGTCCAAGCTTAATGAGCTTTCAAATTCGAACCCGAGCTGAGTTTAAGTTCAAAAACTTAATCGAACCGAACTCGAACATAGTAGTATTCGTCTCGGTTCAAACTCGAGCCTATCGCACACCTGAAATTATAAATATAATTTTTATATATTAAAATTTAAATATAAGTAGTACGTAGTATGATTATTACCACCCATGCTAGCTGATTGGAATTTGCATTTTGCATGTAGTCCCACTCCGTCAATTTTACCACCCATGCTAAAATTTAAACATAATTTTAAGAGTATTTGATTGGAATTTGCATTTTGCCACATAACACTAGCTAGCTGCCATCATTTAATACACTCCGTATTTCACATGTTGTCCCACAGTGGAAGATTTTATTAAAACATAATTTATTATTAATGTTATCACTTATCCGTTAACTGATGTATAGCGCATAACCTGTGCATAGCCTAGTCATGCAGCGTATTATATTACTAGTACGTATTATTAGAGAGTTAGTTATACATACTTATCTCTTAGTTTAAGGCTACGTATAGAAGTGTATATATACACAATATGATTGTACTCATAATTAATTCAACACACATAATCATATTCTTTACATGGTATCAAGAGCCTCACTCTAACGAGCCAATTTTTTTTCTTGGAGATTTCATCATGGTCATCACCGAATCCACCACGGTCATCTCCATCACAGCCTCCACTCACTTCCCAATCAAACTGACGGCAACCAATTTTCCAGTCTGAAAGTGCCAAGTTCATGCTGCCCTTATAGGGTTAGGACTTGAAGAATATGTTGATGGCGGTATCACTGCTCCTGACCAGTTCCTCGATGCAGCCAAAACACGGACTAATCCTTGTTATACCATCTGGTATCGACAAGACAAAACTATTCTCAGTGCTCTCATCGGAAGTTGCTCCGACCCAATTCAACCCATCATTTCAACCTCCACATCACAATCAGCCTATTTATGCCTTGAACCTATATCCGGACGAGTTTATGTATCCCATCATGTACGGTTTGTTCCTAATGAATATCCGTTTCGTTCCCAATCCGTTGGTCAGTCTCCCATGCAATTGCTATGTTCGGATAAAAAGATATATCTCCCTTGCACAAGTGGACCTCCTGCTATCACTCCCTCTCCCCCACAACCCACGCCCTGCCAACCTTATCATCCACCGAATAATACATCCACTTTGTCAAATTCCACCCAAGTGTCTCTTGACTCACCATATTACCAGCCACCTCACCCTACTATGGTACCCACCGTTCCTAATCCATCTTATCCAATTGCCCCACACATCCCTACTACCCACTCAACCCATCCAGTCAACTCCCCCCATTTAATTCCCTCCCCCACTACAACACCGTCCCCCCATTTTACCAATCAAACAAATACTTCACCTCCCAACTCCACTACGACGGTAGCTTCCGAAGTTCCGTCTCAGCCTACCCACCGCCCAACACGAAACCGTAAACCCAATCCCAGATATCTAGGTGGTCCCTTTGTGAATAATACTGATGTGCACCCCATTTTACCTACTCTTGAACCTACGGGTGTAAAGCAAGCATTGAATGACCCAAAATGGAAAGCAGCAATGGACGATGAGATGGCTGCACTACATCGTAACCATACCTGGACACTAGTTCCTCGCACCGGTCAACAACCTATTACTTGCAAATGGCTGTTTCGGGTAAAACGAAATGCTGATGGAAGTGTGTCTCGGTTTAAGGCTCGGCTTGTGGCGCGTGGATTTCTCCAGCAACCCGGAAAAGACTATTTTGAGACATTTAGCCCGGTGACTAAACCGGCTACTATTCGCATCATCCTAGCCATTGCTCTATCTCGGAATTGGCAACTTCGTCAACTTGATGTGAATAACGCTTTCTTACATGGTTCTCTTACCGAAGAGGTTTACATGACTCAACCTCCCGGGTTTGTAGACCACACCAACCCACATCATGTGTGCAAGTTACACAAAGCTTTGTATGGTCTCAAACAGGCACCACGTGCATGGTACCTTGAACTCTCACGGTTTCTTTTTAGTGTTGGTTTTCGCAGGTCTCATGCAGATGCATCTTTGTTTATATATTGTCAAGGAGGCGTTTCTCTTTATTTTCTAGTCTATGTGGACGATATTGTGCTTACGGGAAATAATCCTACTGCCATGGAAAAGTTCATCAGCCAACTCACCACTCGATTTTCCGTCAAAGATTTGGGGTCACTACACCATTTTCTTGGTGTTGAAGTCATTCCCACTTCATCTGGCTTGTTTTTATCCCAACGTCAGTACATTAATCACATCCTGGAGTCATGTATGATGATTGGTGCAAAGGAGGCAGCAACGCCCATGTCATCAACGGCATCCCTATTTCTCAATGATGGAACACCTTATACGGATTCAAGTATGTACAGGCGAGCACTTGGTCTTCTCTAATACCTTGCCTTTACTAGACCGGATATCTCGTTTGCTGTGAATCGTTTGTCTCAATATATGCATGCTCCAACACACACTCATTGGCAGGCCGTAAAACGGGTTCTAAGGTATCTAAAAGGCACTCTTAATTATGGCTTATTTATTCGCCGTCATGATCCTCTCACTCTTACTGCATTTTCGGACTCAGATTGGGGGGGTCTACACGATGGTGGACGTTCCACTACAGCCTATGCATTGTATCTTGGTGGTAATATTATTTCATGGAAATCAGCCAAGCAAAAATGTGTGTCTCGCTCATCTACGGAAGCTGAATATCGTGCGGTTGCTAATGCTAGTGCGGAAATTCTTTGGGTACGGAATGTTCTCACTGAACTTGGAATTTCACTGTCTCAGTCACCGCAACTATATTGTGACAATCAAGGAGTAACTTATGTCTGTGTTAATCCAGTGTTTCACTCCCGTATGAAGCACCTGGCCCTTGACTTCTTCTTTGTCCGAGAACTCATTGAACGGGGTCAACTCAATGTCCGTCACATTTCTACCAAACTCCAAATTGCTGACATTCTAACCAAACCACTGGGTCGACACCTATTCGAGACATTTAGGTCCAAGCTGGGAGTCTCTGACGGAACCTCCATCTTGAGGGGGCGTATTAAAACATAATTTATTATTAATGTTATCACTTATCCGTTAACTGATGTATAGCGCACAACCTGTGCATAGCCTAGTCATGCGGCGTATTATATTACTAGTACGTATTATTAGAGAGTTAGTTATACATACTTATCTCTTAGTTTAAGGCTACGTATAGAAGTGTATATATACACAATATGATTGTACTCATAATTAATTCAACACACATAATCATATTCTTTACAGATTTCACCATTCATTCTGCCTTACCCAAACACTTTCCGTCAATGTACCCCAACCTCTGTTTTTTAATACAGGGCAGATGATGTATAATGCCCCATCATGTCCTTACAAATTTAAATCAAAGATACATTATATTTAATTGCCCAGCTCGATCGTTGTATATATAGTTGGGTTCTGTGCAGTGATCAAGTGTATACAAAATCCTAGAGAGCTAAGTTTGCACTTTCCATTACCCCACGAGAAAAGAGTTAGAAAAAATCCACGTTTGATCGAGAAAATGGCTGTCTGGTCAAACAGTGTGATAATACATGTATATGTAGCAGTGATATTGGTGATGCTCCGATCATCAAATAGCGGTGGCGAGCAGATTCCAATCACTGTCATTGAAAGTGCCATTGGAGAGGGGGCTGTTTGCCTTGATGGAAGTGCACCAGCATATCACTGGGAGGCAGGAAAGGGCCATGGTGCCGCAAATTGGCTGGTGTACCTTCAAGGAGCTGGATGGTGCTTGAACAGCAGCATTTATCACACAAGTGATAATTCTGTTCAGAGTTGTGAAAGCCGTGCAGCAGGTGAAAATGGTTCTTCCCATCACATGCAGCCTGTGACGTTTAAAAACGTATTTTCTGTTCACGCAAATGATAGTTATTTTTTTAACTGGAATCGGGTTGTAGTAAGATATTGTGATGGAGGATCATTTGCGGGAGATGCCGACAAACCTGACCCCGTAACGAAGCTCTACTACAGAGGTGCCAGGATCTTCAATGCCGTCGTCAAAGAGTTGATGGCGAAAGGAATGAGAGGTGCGCAAAATGTTCTCCTTGTCGGAGGATCGTCCGGCGGACTGGGCGTGATGATACACTGTGACCGCTTTCGGGGTCAGTTCTCTAAGAGTGTGCGAGTGAAATGTGTTGCGGACGGTTCACTGTTTATTCACATGAAAGATCGCAGCAGGGCGAAGTTTTTCGAAACTGTTTTCAGCACAGCAGTTGGGTGTGCATCATCTCAAGAAGGCACTTCCCAAACAGTGCACTTCCAAAATGAGTGCCACTGCGTGCTTCTTCCCCCAAAATTTGTTGGATTTTGTCAAATCGCCGATTTTCATTGTGATGGAATTCGGCATTTGATACTTTTCAAATAATAAACACGTTTGGGGAAGGCTTGCACGACCAAATCAAGAATCACACGGCCGTCAGCCAAGGTGATATGACTTTGCTCAAAGATTTCAGACACCAAATAATCCACGCATTGCCTCCAAAAAGTGCCAAAGTTGGATATGTCGTTACATCCCTCTTTGTTCATAGTGTGGCTTGGCATATAGGCTACAGATTACCCATATTTTCTGCTGTCCCGGAATCCAAGACCATTGAAAGCGCTCTGCTGGACTGGTTCTACGACCGAGCACATGTTCACTTGGTTGACCCCACTGATGAACCTTTCGCAAATTAGATACTACGGAGTCCTAGCTTAGTAGGTATTTTTTTTTTGTGACTGGCCGGCCATTATCTATATGTGTGTACCTACCGCTTTCCTTTCTACCTAGTATTATCTATCTAGAAAATTAGAAATCATTACGTTAGCAGTGCTGCTGTGGCGTTTGGCCGAACGACCTAGCTATATATTGTGTATTGAATTATCCTAACCGCTAGGTGTATCTGTAGTGTCACAAGAGTTAGGTCCCGGGTTCGAATCTCATTTTAGAGGTGACTATTGTAAATTCAAAAAATATAGGGCTTCTTTAAGTACCGGGGACAGAGCCCCATTTTCTATCTGTCAGTTTGTGATTATTGTTTTTTTTGTACTGAATTATCCTACTCCATACAGCCGGTTAGTACTACCAGATATGAGGTGTTTGGCAATTGGTCGCCGGATGTTACCTGTTGGCTGATTGTGTTGGCTGATTCATAACAGCAGGTTCTGTTGGCTGTTTTGATTAGCCAGTAGTATTAGCAGTTCGTAAAATGATGTTTGGTTAAATGACTGTTTACAATCAGCAGATCGATAACTTGTTAAATGACTATTAAGGACATCAATTAATTTTTAGCTTCAATTATTATTGTTAATAATAATAATAATAATAGTAATAATAATAGTAATTATAATAGTAATTATAATAGTAATAATAATAGTAATAATAATAGTAATAATATAATAATAACAACAATAACAACAACAACAATAATAATAATAATAATAACAACAACAACATTGTTTTTGTTATTATTATTTTGACATTAAAAAGTACATAGTATATTTCAATAAATGCACAAAATTGAATTGAAGCTAAATTGGAAAAAAGCTAGAAATGAATATTTTATTAAAGGGATGCAAGATCCATGCCAGTGTTCTCTTCGGTGAAAATTGAAAAGATGAATATAGTAGTGCCACTAGTGGGTGGTTTTTCTCTTTGACGTGTGCCACTGTGGAAGGCTGGGAGGAAGCGAATACGAAAATGAGATGGCGCCATGATCGAGTAGTAACGGAAAAATATGAAATCGTCATACCTAAACGCCATAAAAAGCCAAATCAAGAAGGCCATTTAACCAAACATTCTTTTTAACTTTTTGATCAGATCAAAAGATCATTTTTAGTCAAATCAGCCAAAAATTAGTTGATAGGCTCTTAACTCCCATAATGTTCTCTTTAATAACGAAAGGCATGCACATGCATGCATACGTCCGCCCAATGCTTTATTATATCAATTGTTTATTGTTATCTCCATTCAATAATTAATTATATTTATTATTGTTGATAAGGATGGCCACCGAATATGTTGTGCGGTGTGCCTCAAGTTTCTCTAGCAGTTAGCTTTAGATAATTGTTATCCGATAGCCATGTAACTATTATTTAAGGTTTGCTCCAGTCATTCAATAGAGGCAGCGAATTACAAAGTCTATCTTGGTATCAGCAGCATCTTCTTCTCTTCTCCAATGGCTTCTCCCAAATTTCATCCCGCCCTTGCCGTTTCAAACATAAAAAATTTCATCACTATCACTCTTGATCTTGAAACGGTGGAGTATTCCTCCTGGACCGAGCTTTTTAAAATCACTGCTAGAGCCTACCAAGTCATTGATCACATTATTCCTCCTAGCCCCACTACTCCCGTTGCCACACCTCCCCACCTCACCATTGAGCAGCGACTCGCCCAAGAGGCAGCCGACATTGAAGCCCGCTCCTTGTGGGATCGCCTTGATGCCATTGTGTTACAATGGATCTATGGCACTATCTCTCACGATCTCCTTCATACCATCATTGAGCCCGATTCTACGGCTCACCATGCTTGGGAGCGCCTCCAGGATATTTTCCAAGACAACAAAAATTCCCGGGCTACGTACTTGGAAAACCAATTCTCCAACACCCGGTTGGATCAATTCCCCAATATTGCTGCTTATTGCAAAACCTTGAAGGTTCTTGCGGATCAACTCACCAACGTTGACTCTCCCGTCTCTAACCAGAGACTTGTTTTCCGCATGGTCAATGGGCTACCAGAACAATATGACACCGTCGCCTCTCTCATTCCACAAGCTGATCCGGTACCTTTGTTCTCCAAGGCGCGATCTATGCTTATTCTGGAGGAATCCCGCAAGCATCAACAGGTCACTCCGCCCGCCGCTCTTCTCCACACGGCAGATCCACCGTCTCCTTCTCCACGCCCAGCCCGTACCGACAATCGGGGTGCTCGACCTCGTGGGCGTGTGAGTTCAAATCGCGGCGGCCGACAACGCTCGAACCCTCGGCCAGAAGGTTTTCGTCAGCACTATGCCACTCCGTACCCAGGACAGTGGCCCCCCAACCACTACGCTTACTGGCCTCAGGGTAGCCCTTGGGTTGCACCTCCATGTCCTTACCCTTCGGTGCCATGGCAGACTCCGGCAGCCGCAACCTCCACTCCAACTGCCGGGATTCTTGGGCCTCGTCCTCAACAGGATCACTATGTCGCTGCTCCTCCTACTCCAACAGATTTACAGGCCGCCATTGTAACACCCCGGCCCCGTAGGCCCCGAGGTAGTTACTTCTGACCTCTAGTACTGTCCCCACAAACCACCACGAGCCTTTACCGCACACTTTGTCCTCACTCATGCGCGCCCTGAGAAACTTCCCAGGGGGTCACCCATCCCAAGACTACTCCCGTGCAAGCACGCTTAACTCTGGAGTTCTTGGGTGATGAGCTCCCTTAAAAGGAGATGCACCTCTGTTGGTATGAGTAGTACTATTAATCCATTTAAATTAAATCTCAAGTATTACAATCACTCCCACTTAGGAACGCAACGTCCTCGTTGCGCCCATAAACCAATCTCAATCATATCCCAGAATCTTTTCCCCTGCTAAGTGCCCGCCCGATATCCAACGGATCAACACACTGTCGCAGGATTGCTCTGATACCACTTGTAACACCCCGGCCCCGTAGGCCCCGAGGTAGTTACTTCTGACCTCTAGTACTGTCCCCACAAACCACCACGAGCCTTTACCGCACACTTTGTCCTCACTCATGCGCGCCCTGAGAAACTTCCCAGGGGGTCACCCATCCCAAGACTACTCTCGTGCAAGCACGCTTAACTCTGGAGTTCTTGGGTGATGAGCTCCCTTAAAAGGAGATGCACCTCTGTTGGTATGAGTAGTACTATTAATCCATTTAAATTAAATCTCAAGTATTACACCCCTAAATTTCCCGCTCAAAACATTGATATATTTAAAAGAAATACTTTATTCATTCATCAAAGAGTTGAAGAAATACAGCGGAAGTCTAAAAGGGAAATGAGTGTTACCGCCACATTCGGTCATCTCTTAACCGAATGCACAGGCAACTCAAAGTAGAACAACAAAAACTAATGTAATAATAAGTAAATGTTTGTTTTATGACTAGATTTAACTAAGGCATCTTCTAATTCGCACTCAAGCTCGAGCAATCCGTCAATCCACATAGGTATCCAACTCATCACCTGATAAAATTTAAGGGAGAAGAGAGAGACAAGAAAAATAAAAAAAATTAGCTTTAGAGCTAAGTAAGTACTACCCAACCCCGTAAAATAATCAGGTTTGGCTAAAATAGATTTTTATATAATATCATATAAAAATGACGCACTCCAATAAAATACTTTTCTCTTTGATTTTCCTTAAAATCACTTCTTTGCTAAAATCTTAAACTTCTCTTGGAAAATCTCTTAGTATCTCTTCTCTTTAAACTTCTTAAGAAAATCACTTCTTTTCTAACTTCCTAGTAATTTAGAAGGGCGGTGCTCAACCTTTCGGTAGAGCCCGGTGGACCGTGGTTACGGACGGCCACCCCGAACAAGTGCCGGTACCACAACTGCTCTGTTGGAAACGAAACGACTACCTTAAGTGTGCACACCCCCTAAAAGGGATTCCAAGCCCTCCGAGTAGTAAGTCATCCCGAGTGGTCGGAACCCAACCACCCCAATTCTAAAATTCTTGAATGATTAGGGACTACTATTATAACTTCTTCTTAAAAGGGATCATAGATCCAAATCTCACTTAAAAAGGATCATAGATCCAAATCTTACTTAAAAGGGATCATAGATCCAAATCTTACTTAAAAGGGATCATAGATCCAAACTGTACTTCTTAGTAGTAGTAGCTCTAATCATCCTCCACATTTATCCGAATGTGGAAAAACCGACACCTCGGATTACTCCCGAGATGCTATCTTCTTATGAAAATGTAAATTTTATCTTTGCTTAACAATACTTCAAAAATACTTCTTAATTTCTCAAAAAAAATCTCAAAGGTATTTAAAAATATTTAATACCCCAAAAGTACTTGATTTATACTTCTTAACTACCATATATATAATATCTTCTCAAAATCACATACACAAAATTCACAAATCACACTTAATCACATAATGCATAATAAGCATATAATACGAGGAAACAATTTTGGATTGGCAGAGAAACTTACCTTAAGTCATGTTGCTCCTAGTTATCCTCCTCTAATCCGGTCTCTAGATAATCACCTTTTTAATTAAATATGATAAATTAGTCACTTATTCTATTTGTAATTACTTTACCCGATTTTCCCCTTTTATTGTATTATTCGCATAAACTTTGGTTAATCACTTTTTATTACTCAAATTACCTTATTAATTCAGCCATTAATTACAATATTTGAATTCTAATATTAAATAAAATATCCGAATATTATTGACTACAACATCCACTTTTTATTCAATAATCACCATTAATTTTCTCTAATTATTATCTAATTACTTTATTTACATAACCGAAAATATTTATTTTCCTTATTTTATTCAAACATTATTTTTAGTCCAGAATATTATTTTTCAACCTCAGAAATTTATTTATTTCACCATTAATACTAATATTTCCTTATTTAATTACTTAACTAGTTTTATATGGCCTAATTTAAATAAATAGCCTAAAAATCGACTTTATAAATTAGTAATCCGTCCATAAATATATTTTGGGTCTATATTCGACCTAGGTTGTCCAGATATTTATTTTATAATTATTTTCCATAATTATTCCTTTAATTTCAAATATCTATTAACCGGTTTAATTACAATTAAATATACTAAACCTTATTTTTATTAATTATAAATGGTCCATAAGGTCCTGGTTAGCCATATATTTATCCTAGTTTACTCCAATATTTATTTCATAATTAGTTTCGCTATTTAGTTAATTATTTACTAAATGTGTATAAATTGGCCCAATTACCATTAAATCCATTAAAAATAGCTAAAAAATTTATGTTCCAATTCTGGTTGGTCCGAATATGTATATTTATACTAGGTATTTAATTTATATTTTTCCAGGTTTTATTTATTTTATTTACTATTTTATTTTTAATTTTTATTGCAACTGGGCCGAACTGGCCCAAATTTAATTTTCTGGCCCAAAAAAAAATTAGGCCCAAGAGGGACCCCAGCTCAGCTGGGTTGTCTTCCTCGTTGCCTCGCCGGAAAAACGGGAAAAACAGGGGGGGGGGGGGGGGGGGAGGAGAACTTACTCCGTTTGGACGAGCGAACGGCCGAAAATGGTGGTAGCAGGGCGGCGAAGGTCAGAGGTGGTACGGCGGCGGCGGCAGCTCCTCCCTCTTCTCCGTTTTCCGTCGAAATGTTTTTCCCCGGCGAAACTCCGGCGAGGCTTTTCTCCCTCGTTTCACGACCGTTTTCGACGATTCTTTTTCCGTTGGATTCGTATCACGAAGGGGAAGGTTTGAGAAGTATTTTCAAGGCTTGTTTCTGGCTAAAACGCTGGGTCGCAAAAATATATATATATACGTATATTTGTATATTTCTTAGTTTTTTGGGATGAAGAAAACGCAGGTTCGGGCCTATTATTTATATGGAAAGATGAGGGTTTTAGGCTGGGATGTTAGTGTTGGAGTTGGAGTTGGAGTTGAAGCTGCCGGCCAACAAAACCTACCGGGAGTAGTTTTACCTCCCGTAGGAGTTTACTTAATAATATTTACGTAGTAGTAGTAATATAATAGTATAATAGTAGGAGTATACTTCTATAATACGTAGGTAGTATTAGCTTAGGAGTAGTATTATTACGTATATATACCTATGTACGTTAGGAGTATGTTATAGTATTACATATATATACGTATATACATTAAAAGCAATAGGAGTAGTATGTTATATGTAAGTATATATACATTAGGAGTATATTTGCTCTATATTTAGTATTACGTATGTAGTTATATATATATTAGAAGTATATATATATATTATACGTACTTAGTTAGTTTAGTTTATTTAAAACACTTAATTTTTATATTGTTTGCTAATAATTTATACGTAAAAAAATTATACGTACGTATTATTGTACAGTTCCTCCGTATTATTTTACAACTTAAAAAGTTATACATAAAATTATTTTTATACGTTACAACTATTGTTGGACCATTTTTATCAAACTAAAAATGTCGTAAATGTAAATTTTCTGTCTGGTTCACTTGATTACTAAAATGCTGTTCTTATTACTGAAATATTTTTATCTGACTAAAACATCATAAATTTTGAAATTTTTAGAATGTCACATCTGTTGAATTTTTGTCTGACTCAATCATTTATAAAAATGTTATTTTCGTAATATTTTATCTGACTAATAAATTATTATTTTTTTTAAATTTTTGGACTGTCACAGCCATGAACACGATGACCCTCACACCACCGGATGACAGTTGGTACTTGGACACCGGGGCAACGTCGCACATGACCTCTTCTTCAGGTTCCCTCTCTCCTTATTTTAATTTGAGCACTTCTAATCGAATCCTGGTTGGAAATGGATCCATCGTTCCAATTTCCAGACATGGTCACACCCAGTTACCATGTTCTCCTGCCCTTTCCCTTAAAAATGTCCTTCATGCCCCCCAGTTGATTAAAAATCTCATTTCTGTTAGACAATTAACCACTGATAATAACGTGTCTGTTGAATTTGACCCTTTTGGGTTTTCTGTGAAGGATCTCTAATCGGGGGCACAGGTTCTCCGGTGCAATAGTTCAAGTCATCTCTACCCCGTCACACCATCGTCTGCTCCTCAAGTCTCGCCAAACGTCGCTCTTCTCACCTTACCCGCCGACTTATGGCATAGCCGTCTTGGTCATCCCGGCGACCCAGTATTTCATTTTATTAGTGCAAATAAAATTATTTCATGTAATAATAAAATGAGGTCTTCTGCTTGTACCTCTTGCCAGTTAGGCAAACATATTAAGCTTCCATTTACTTCGTCTTTATCTGTAACATCCGAACCGTTTGATTTAATTCATAGTGATTTGTGGACTTCTCCTATTGTTAGTACCACAGGCCACCGTTATTATGTTTTATTTTTGGATGATTACTCTAAATTCCTATGAATTTTCCCACTTCATAACAAGTCTCAAACTTTCTCTGTGTTTGTTAAATTCTATAAATTTATACAAACTCAGTTTGAACAAAACATTAAGGTGTTCCACTGTGACAATGGCACAGAATTTTGCAATACCTCTTTTCGCCAATTTGGGGACTCTCACGGTCTCCATTTTCGGTACTCCTTCCCTTATACTTCACCTCAAAATGGAAAAGCAACGCACCATACGCACCATCAATAATATGGCCCGCACCCTCCTTATTCATGCTTCCCTACCCCCAAAATTTTGGCCGTTTGCAATTAAAATGGCTACTTATTTATATAATATTCTTCCCTCTCAAACCCTTAATTTCACCTCACCTACCACAATTCTATATCACAAAACACCCTTATACACTCATCTTCGTGTTTTCGGGTGTCTTTGCTACCCCCATATACCCTCTACTACTATCCATAAATTACAACCCCGCTCCACTCCATGCATTTTTTTGGGATATCTGGATAATCACAAAGGGTATTTATGCATGAATTTATCCACCCACAAATTGATTATATCCCAGCATGTTACTTTTAACGAAACTACCTTTCCCTTCAATAACAACACTACACATCCGCCAAATACATACGATTTTTTGCATAACCCACCCAATTACTTTATCCAACACCCTCACCTTTTTGCATGGGACAACAATATCACACCCATGCATGCCACAACTCGCCATGCACCTAGAACACCAACCCTCGGTCCTCACACTTCTTCCAGCTCATCCTCTCCTCCCACAAATATATACCATCCACAAAATTCCTCCAGCCCCTCCCCACATGCCCCACCAGACAACCCCCACCCTACTTCTCCTTTCCCACATTCGGCCCCCACTTCTCCAACCCCCAGTATCACACCCGCCCCTCTCCCTCGGCATCACATGATAACCCGCGCCCAGGCCGGTGTTTTTAAACCAAAGTTTCCCCTCAATTTATCCACCACCATAACACCATCTCCCATCCCAAAATCTCCAATCCATGCTCTCCAAGACCATAATTGGAAATCCGTCATGGACGATGAATTTAGTGCTCTTATTAAAAATAGGACGTGGGAGTTGGTTCCCCGGCCCCCAAATACTAATATCGTTCGTTGTATGTGGTTATTTAAGCATAAGTACAGGTCTGACGGAACTTTGGACCGACACAAGGCCCGTTTAGTGGTCAATGGCAATTCTCAGCAGGTTGGAATTGATTGTGATGAGACTTTTAGCCCGATCGTCAAGCCCGCTACTATTGGCACCGTTCTTACCATTGCTCTTTCCAACTCTTGGCCACTACATCAATTAGACGTCAAGAACGCCTTTCTACACGGCAACTTGGAGGAAACTGTATTTATGAACCAACCCCCCGGTTTCCGCGATGCATCCCGGCCGACTCACGTATGCTGTCTCCTCAAGTCCTTGTATGGACTCAAGCAAGCTCCCCGCGCATGGTACCACCGCTTTGCTATGTCCGTTGCCACTATTGGTTTCCGGCATAGTAAGTGTGATCACTCCCTCTTCATTCTCCATCATGCTCAAGACACGACATACATCTTATTACATGTTGATGACATCGTCCTTACCGCCTCCTCCGAATCTCTCCACCAGACTATCATGACTCATTTATGCCGTGACTTTGCTATGACTGATTTGGGGCCACTTTCATTTTTCCTGGGCATCTCGGTCACTACTCAACCCCACGGCCTCTTCCTATCTCAAACACAATATGCTAAAGAAATTATCACACGTGCAGGGATGGACAAATGCAACCCCGTTTCCACCCCGTAGACACTCAACAAAAGCTAAGCGCCACTATCGGCCCGCCTGTGAATGATCCCACTCTCTACCGCAGCCTTGCCGGTGCACTACAATACCTCACCTTTACCCGGCCGGATATTTCCTATGCGGTCCAACAAATTTGCTTGATCATGCATGACCCCAGGGCTCCTCATTTTCAAGCCCTCAAACGCATTATTCGGTATATTCATGGAACCTCACACTTGGGCATTCATATCCATCGCTCTCCGGTAACCTCGCTCATCGAATATACTGACGCTGACTGGGGGGGGGGGGGGGGGGGGCTGCCCTGAAACCCTCAAGCCCACTTCCGGCTACTGTGTTTATCTCGGGGACAACATCATCAGCTGGTCGTCCAAACGTCAGGCCACCATTTCTCGGTCCAGTGCTGAGGCTGAATACCGCAACATAGCTAATGTGGTGGCGGAACTTTGTTGGTTGCGTAATCTATTACTAGAGCTTCACTGTCCTATCCCAAAGACTTCTATTGTTTATTGTGATAATGTCAGTGCCATTTACATGTCCGGTAACCCCGTTCAGCATCAGAGAACTAAACACGTTGAAATTGATATTCATTTTGTTCGGGAAAAAGTTGCTCGCGGGGAAGTTCGGGTCCTACATGTACCATCCCGCCATCAGTTTGTTGACATTTTTACCAAAGGGTTGCCACGGATCTTATTCCAAGAATTTCGGTCCAGACTTCACGTCCGGCCGGTGGACGTTCTGACTGCGGGGGAGTAATAACGAAAGGCATGCACATGCATGCATACGTCCGACCAATGCTTTATTATATCAATTGTTTATTGTTATCTCCATTCAATAATTAATTATATTTATTATTGTTGATAAGGATGGCCACCGAATATGTTGTGCGGTGTGCCTCAAGTTTCTCTAGCAGTTAGCTTTAGATAATTGTTACAAGATAGACAATAAAAGTCTGATAATAAAAGTCTGACTCTTTTCATGTCGGGTAGTCGTACCCCTTATAGAATGTATTTTATAACGGTTACAAATTTAACCGTTATCGAATGTTTTCAGTGTCAGTTCAGTAATATCCCATATAAAATCCTTTTTATATGGGTTAAACCACCAACCGTTATAGAAAGTCATTTTTTTAATAAAAAAATCACATTTACGTCACTTATATATATATATATAAGTGATTCTGCTTAATATATATATATATATTAGTGATTTTATATTTTAAAATGTAATGTTTTTATTTAAATTTGCTCTATAATAAAATTTCTAATTCATACTAAAAATATATATTGTCTAGAAATTAATGAGTAATATGTAAGCAGCCCCTAGCCCAATTCTGTAAATTTATTAATTCAAAACAAAAAGAACGATAGGCTCATTTCCACAGCCGAAGTACAAAAATCAAAAGTAAATAACATATCAACGCACAACACAAAGAAGCATTTAGTACAATAACTACTTTATTGTAGCAAGATCACTGGCCAACTCCACATTACTACTAACTTACTATTGACAATTGTAAAAACCAGCTGCCACAACCCCCATACCACCACTACCGACGGCTGTTTTTGTGATTGCAACTTGGTCACTATCAAGCTCATTCACAAGTTCGTCGATTTTCCGGAACTGGTAAGGCCATTTCACATTATAAACTGTCGAAGATCAAACCTGTTGTCCTCTGGCGAGTAAACTCTACACAACACACACAAAAAGCGGGTCTGACCGTGGGTGAGGATAAACTAAAGGCAGATAGAACAAATATGACAAATACACTATATATTCCAAACTCAATAATGTTCCAAATTGAGCTCTAAAGAAGAAGAATAAGTACCTCGGCATGATATGAAGGTGTTAACACAGTCATCTTGTGTCTGTTAACGACATAGTACTTGAAGAAGTGCTTCACTTTATCGCCCACCTCCTTTGGAGTCAACACCGTACCCCATTTATAGCAGAGGTTCTACAAATTAAGCCAAGTTTAATGTTTTATGCAAATGCAGTTTATATAGGACCCCAGAATACATTATATTTCACGTGCTGGGGGGACAAACCTTAAACATTGATACAGGTCCACAACGGAAAATCTTACGCATTCTTCCATAAACTGAGAGTTCTTCATATGTCATTCCCATGTCCACTTCATCTATCTGCTTCGCAAAAATAGAGAGCATGGACATTCACACTTAAGAATAGAAATAAGTAGATAATGAAAGACGCGTCTGGAACAGTGAAAGAAATCAAGAATACACGAACGCACAAAAAGTGAGACCTGACTGTAGTTAGAGCGTATAGGCTCCAATTCAGCAGTGGGAGGAGCTGCTTCAATATCTACCAAGGATGAGTATCCAAGATGAATGGCTGCCCATCTCAGAAATGTTCAAAGATCCATCTTGCTAATACTTCCGATTGGATTTATATCAGTTCGAAGAGCCATGGTCAAGTGTTTGAGTGATTTAAAAACATGCTTTTGGATTTGACAATGATGTGTTTTTAGAACATTGTTTGGGTAGCTGTTTATCCTTTGACAGAACTTTTATTTTTTGGCATGATAAACTTTATTATGAAGTGTGAAAAAATAATGATTTTATGAAAATGCACTTTCTAGAAAATGATAAATAAATGTCTTCCAATGGCTTGCCTTTCCCCCTTCAGTTATGGAACCCAACTTATCGTGTAGACAATAGACCTGCTGTGATTGGAACTGCAGCAATAAAAAGAAAAAAACTCATTATTATTGGCAGAAGATTATATTTTATCCAGATACTAAAAATATGTGCTTCACAGGAGGAGGATGCAATACTGAGTAAACCTTTGAGTAGCTTTTGTCCTACGAATTGGAGCTTGATTGCGGGAGGAATAGCAGGTAGATAGGGGAAATCTTGCCGCCTCCATTGGTGCATCAGCTTGACCCTGCTGTCAAACACAGGCCATTTAGTGAAGAAGAAGAGCCCATGATCCTCCAGGCACATGTTGTCCACGGAAATAAATGGGCAACAATTGCAAACCTTTTGCCAAAAAGAACCGGCAATCACTTGATGACTTGAATTCTACCTTGAGACGTCATTATGCTGCACTTGAAAAGTTTAAATGCGAGTTTGGCAACACGATGGAACTCAGATTAAATGCTATACTCTCAATGTATACCGGTCAAAAGAAACTCATGTGTACCATCAACATTTGACAAGCAACTGTCTATGTAATCGGTCAAAATTAAAAATCATTGACTTGAAAAGTCAAGTTTGACTAACTAAAATGAGATAGATGGAGGAGTATATTTTACTTGTTTCCAGAACAATGTAAACATTAACTCCTTCTCTTCCTAATTAACTTTTTCTAAGTATGTTAAACTTTATTCTGTTTCCATCATTCATAAAATATAACTTTTTGAAACTATGAAGTTATTATTAGTGTAAACAAACAATACAATACCATTTTACTAATTTTCTAGAGTTAATTATCAAAATAGGATTAAAAGTCATTCATTTTTCACAAATAGGACCAAAAAATAAACTATGTTTGCATAGGACTAATTATGTGTATCTTGGATAATTATACCCTTATAGCTATTAAAATGTTTTAATTCCTATTAAAAAAAAATAAAAAAACAATAAAAATTAATAAAAAATAGTAAAAAATAATAAAAAATTAAGAAAAACATTTCGATATTAAAAATTTAATTAATTTTTTTTTCAAAAAATTAAAAAATTAAAAAAAAAAAATCGTCGTCGCCTCTGCCGCCTCAGCACCACCACCTCCAGTCACCAGAGGAAAAAAATGCCAATTTCATTACGAATGCCATATTTATGGCAGAAAAAAATGAAAATGTTGGCATTCGAAAAGAGAACTATGCCACTTTTTTGGCATTTTCAGAAAAAAATGGCATTTTTCTGGGAAAATGGCATTTTTTTCATCGGACGGTGGTGGTGGTGCTGGGAGGTAGTACAGGCGGTGGGAAAGACATCCATATTTTTTTAAATTTTTTTACGGAGTTTTACTATTTTTTATTAATTTTTTTAAAAATAAAATTATTTAAAAAAAGTTTTTGAATTTTTTATTTTATAAAAAATTTATAAATTTTTTAATTATATTTCTACGAATTTTTGAATTTTTTTCGAATTTATTATAAATTAAACATTTAATTATGGCTTTTGACTATTTTTAATTCATATTTAATGGAAGGGTAAGAATGGAGTGCAAAAATAGGTATGTTTCCAATAGGACTCATATGGTCCTATTTTGGAATAAAAACATAGCAAGTCCTATTTTAGGTTTTTGCCATAGTTTTAGTCCTATTTGAACTAATTTCTAAATTTTCTACCGTGCATCGCACAGGTGAGAATCCAGTAATAACAATAATAGAAACAAATAGAGAAGTTTGAACCTCAAGCCCAGAAAAACCTATACAAGACCAACATCTATCCATTATGACCTATAAAACTGCAAAACATCACAAGACAAAAAAGACAAACAAAGAAAGTTATATATTTCAGTTTATTGTGTTTTTCACACCTGAAATATTAGACCTCTGGTTTCAAACTTAAAGGAAATCAGAGAAAGTTAAAGAATTTAAAAACTAGTAAAGAATAGAAGAGTAAAGTGATTTTTGAATCATACATTGGTAAACTTTTGCTCCACGGATAGACATAGACCTTTATTTTCAGAAAACTCTCCAAGTGAGAAATTGGATGTGTGCAACTTTCTAAAGAATAAACTATGCACATTTTAATAGCAAAGAATAATACATCATAGAAAGAACAAAATTGTAATTACAATAGAAAAGATTTACATAGTTTTGTAATTAAAACAAAAAAATAACTATAGAAAGTAGGAAGAAAAGAGTAATAGAGTTCATTCCCTCTTTTGACGTCAAATCTGCAGCTTTTATCATTCAGAAAAATGCTTCCTTCAACCATTAAAGAACATGCATAATTAGCGTTTCTTAATACTATATACTTTCAAGTCAACTAACCACATCAAATATCATAAAGTGTGACTGATTTTAAACCATTTAAAGCATTTCTTATCATTTGTTGGCAGAAACCTATTAGTATCAAACTAGGAAGAAGAAAAGAAAAATCAAAAGCTCATCATCATTATAATTAACTTTCACTAGCACCCAAACAAAAAATTTAAGTTCAAACTAAAAGACTTCACCAACATTATATTAAACTAGATACATAGAAAAGAAACAACATTTTACTCCAACAGGCTTTTCCTAAAATATTTCGCTTAAGTTTTTCCTGTCTATGTTAATTAATTAGGAATAATTTAAACCACATATTTAAATGAACATACACATCCATTATAAGCGCTAATGTAAAACTTCGATTATATAAATCTTATTGTATGGAAATTTAAGAATTCTGGAATACATAGGTTGCCAATTAAGTGAATTAACCCAACTAAATGATGAAATAAGATCCACTACTAAATGCTTCAACAACTACTCAATGTTAATTAAGACTAAATTAACTACCATAAAATTTTAATTAAGACTAAAATTAACTACTAAATTAAGATCCACATAAAAATAAAGTCAAAAAAATTGTTCATTTGTTATAAAAAATAAAACATGAACAGGTAAACGAAAGAATGCAACAGAACCTTACATTATAGCTATCTGTCTCAAGAGCAAGCAAATCACTCAAATGAACATTTGAGTGATGAAAACTTTTTCCCAGCAACCTTATTGACCTCTAGAGATCCATGAATGTTGCATCCTTCACCTTCTTCATCTTTAACCTTTTTGAGTGAAGCCTTCCCTTTTACACTGCAAGTTTTATCAAGCACAAAACTCAATGAACAGTTTTAAACGTACATCAACATGACAACAAACTGAGTCGAAGAAAAACTGTTGTGGTGTCTCATGAAGCTTGTATGTTTCGAAGCAAATGAAATAGTTTAGAGGCGAACTACTTATTATAATAACACTAAGCTTTAATTATTTTTACAAGTTAGTGTTTGTAATGGAGGTAAAGACTAACTATTTATGTTTTCCGTTTTCCTTAAATCTACATTTTTACGAAGATAGCAATATAATAGCAAATGAATTTAAATGAAAATCACTGAACGAATTTGACAGCAAAGTGATAAATCTGCCCAGTGATGCCGGAGGATGGTGTAATCCTCCATTGAAACACTTTGATCTGTCCCGGCCTATTTTCCAGTCGCAGGATGGTGTAATCCTAAAATAAATGCTCAGTTAAGAATAAAAGTTGTTTTTCCAGAGCTGAAATCCTCCATATAAACATAAATTGCACAGTACAGAACTGGAATTGTCCCCATTCAGTATTGAAGGTACGAGTTGTTTTTTCTTTTTTCAAATTAACAAATCAATTAAACATAATAGATAAATAATTGATAGTTAATCAGAAATCTCAAATATTATTAGGAGCCGAGGGGATGAACTGATGAGAAAAATATAAAACTAAGGTTGAAATCTGAATAGTCAACCTGAAACAGCCGAGTGCGAGAAGCAGTGGGACGGAAAGAGGTAAGCCAACACGAACAAGGGAGGGCTGACAACTAAAAACATAAACCTAAAAATCTTCCAACTTCTTCATAAAATTAAGCAAATATCAGAGAAATATATACATGAATCAATTATGAAAAGTAAAACCAAATACATATTTAGTGTGTAAGAAAATTACCCGTTGGAAAAATGGTCTCTGGCGAAGGAGATGAAACGTTGAAAAAAGTAGCGCCGGTTGATTGGGAGCAGCAGAGGTGGTCGTCGAATCCCTCTTCTCCGTCGACGTTGTCTTCTCCGTCAAAGTCCTCCTCTGCGTCGAAGCTTCTCTGATCTGTACTCCATATACTTCATATTCTTCTTGAAGGGTAAAGAGAAAGATTCATTGTCCTTGGGCCGAGCGTTAGGTTAAATTAATCGGCAGTATATTTCGTAAGGGTTACAAATCAGCCGACATAAAAAGCATTTTTAAATATTATAAAAAAGCCCCCATTTCAAAATTAAGTTTCCAGAAATTATTTAAATGACCCCGTTTTTACTTAACCATGTCGGTTATTTTTTCAACCGTTATAAATAAGATTTTATATTTATAATACTTACCCGGTGAACTTACTCAACTTTTATTATTTATAAATATGACCCCGCGTCTACATTTCATAACGGTTAAATGTGAACCCATATTAAAAGCCTAGTTATAGAATGTGTATTTTGCACTAGTGAGTATAATTTGGTGCACTTGCTCAGCTAAAGATACTCCGTGAGATAGCTGATAGTTCCCCAACGTGGTTTCTCTTTTAGGGATTTACCTTAATAGGATCAAAACGTGACTTTTTTCCAAAAATAGGACCAATTTGTTTAAACATTCTTAAATAAGACTTTTTATTTATGATTGGACCAAAATACTCTCACTGTTGCCCCTAGATTGCTGCATGTCACCTACCGCCGCCTGACCACCGGTCGCCGCCTGAAAATTTCCAAATTTTTTTCCTAGCAGTTTGGCAGCATTTCTGCCGCCACCGATGTAATCTGCCGCTGCCACTGCCGCTACTATCGTCCTACCCCCGCCACCAACGAATTGCTTTGATTGTGCAAAAGAAGTAGTGTGCAATTAATTGGGGTTAATTAATTAATTAATTCAATTATTATTAAGGATAAAAGTAGAATGATAATCATATTTAGGGAAAACCAAAGAGGTCATAATTTTAGAAAAAAATATACTACCGTCCCGTAATTAACTTCTCATTTCGTTTTCAAACATATTAAGAAAATAAATTTACTGGGAGGTAAATTTTATTATTTTGACATTGTTTCAACATTGTTTGGCAATGTTTGGTATTATTTAAAGCTGTTTTGACGTAGATAATTTGAAAAATAAGAAAAGAAGAAGCTTGAAATTAATTTTTTATAGAAAAAGGAAAGTGACGATTAATTTCTTGAGGGAGAGAGTATCTCGTAGTCTTAGCCCATAGCAATTTTTTCTTTTTAAATGACGGGAAATCTTTTCACATTCCACAGCTCCTGCCTCTTTCTAATATTTGTATCCGAAGTGATGAAAAACAAATACTACGTAGTAATAATCTGCTCTTTCTTCTTCTAGCCCGAGAAGGGCAGATTTTGATATGTTCAAACCAGGTTACGTTGTCTTTCCTTTAGAAATGGATGCTAAATACAGTCATTTGTTTTCATGATTTGTTCATAAGCGAATACACTACAATGTTCCTTCTCTTATTCGGACATGCTTTAGTATAAGTTTTTATTGGCATTTTTCATGTGCAGTAAACTGAAATTTTATTCTTTAGCACTTCTTTTCTGATCTCTGATGTTCAATACTGCATAAGAAGACATTTTAGTGGATTAAATAGATAAAATTTCTGAATTTAAAGAAGATGCAGTTTGATGCATAGGGGCATTTACACAGGGTCTTATACGAGCATCATTTGATTTGGAAACATAAATGAAGCAGAAGGTGCGTTCTTGGAGCAGAGAGCGGAAAGGGTGTGAAGTCTTGTCTGGGCAAGAAAAGAAAAAACTAGAAGAAGAGAAAATGGGGGTATTAACTAACACCTTTATTTTATGTTGTTTGAGAAGTCATTTTTTTCTTCAAATATTTGCATTTAAAATTATTCTACGCCATTACTTTTGTGTTTGTGTTGGTCGTGTACTTGTATTTATTTTTTGATCTTTAAACCAACAAATATATTAAATCAACAACACGTTCGTCACAAAACAAAGTCCCAACCCTAGCCTTGCTTGCACTTCAAGTATTTTAAATCAACTGCTCGGAAATAAGAACACGTCCAAAACAACGTGCAATTCGAAAGAAAAACACAAACAAAATAAAACAAGAATTAAAACCGAGTAGCTTGGGAGGGGGATGCGCCCGCCGCTCATCCGCCTCAATAGCCATGTTTTTGTATTCATTGACGATATCCTCCGTTGATATCCCTTGCTTCTGAATCGAAACCAAACTCCGCCACAATTTATCCGCCTTTTCTTTGTCAACACTCGATCTTCAACTAGAAACAACAGCAGAAGTCCAGCACGCCAAAGCGCTGCATCCCTGGTTCCGAGCCTACTTGCACGACCGAAAATGACCGACGGCCGCTCTTCGTCGATGACGAAAGCAGAAGAACGAAACCCGAACTCGTAGGGAGATGACCGCTGAATCGGCGTGTACTTATATTTATATATACTATAAATATTTTTTAATTTGAAAAAATCAAGATATAATATTTTAATATTTTCTCCAAAGTAGTAGTTCATTCTAAATCCTCCATTGGACCAGGCATAATACTCCGTATCTTCTTAGACTTCCATTTCCTGCACTCCCCCTATTTTCCATCTCTGTTTTGAACCAACAAAGGCCTAGGGTCAGTTTGGGTGGATCCTTGAGGGTTTTGGAGGAAAAGGTTTTGGAGGGCTAACTATGTATATTTGACATTTTATAAAAATAAAAGGAATACCATTAATAGGTGATCATACAACATTTCCCAAGCTTTTTTTCTGTTTTTAAAAACATTCTACTGAACAAGAAATAGACTAAGCCCTCCAAAGCCTCCACAGACAGTCCCCACAATACATCCAAATTGTCTCTTAGTGAATATCAAACTGCAGTCAAATGGTTTGCTTGCGAACTGTGTCTACTTTCTGTTCACCCTAAGCTCATTAACTTTTTTCTGCCATAGGATCATGTAGTCTTTCTCTGTTCGCATATTGTTGAATAAATTTTCCCTGGCATATGAATCATGTAGTCTTTTTATCTCAGGATGGTGGCAGTACCTCGTCACTTGAATTGGTTTCCATGGAAGAGAAGGAAGCTGATGAGAAGATCTCATGGCTTGTTGAAGTGCATAAGGTGAGTCACATTAAATTTAAATAAAAAAATAAATAAAAACATTAGGAAGTTATCAAGTAGATTATAGGGAAAGGGGAGGATGCTATGAGTTATCTGTAATTTTTCTGTATGGAGTATGTTTGCCATACTATTTTCTTGTGCATTTAAACAAGAAATATGCATAATTTCTGCAGAGAGAGAAGAATGATGCTTTGCAAAAGATACTTAAAGTTGTTAAGTATTTTGATGCCAATCAAGAACTTGAATCGCAAATTGAGGATATTAAAGTAAAACTGGCATTGATGAATCACATGCGGTACAAGGGTGGTGCAGTTGTGCAAAGAAAAATAGCAGTGATATACAAGCAGCTGTTTATGGAACACAATTGTGTACAATCTAGGAAGATGCATCATTTTCTACATGACCACTTCCAGAGTGTCTTACACGAACAGGGACGATGGAACTCAGAACTAGAGAAGAAGAAACACCAACTGGATTCTTGGAGGAAAGAGCTGAAAAACCTTGATGTCTTGTCTGAGCAAGTAAAAAGCACATGTGAAGAGGAAAATAATAAGGTACACCATAGTATTTAACACCTCTTTTATGTACGACTCATGGTTATAAACCTGTTTGACAACCAGCAGAGGATAGACACGTCCAGTGGATTGGTTTGCTTGATAATATTTTTTTCTTCAGTTGCAATGTATTAGAGTTATGCAACTTTGTGTATGCTCATCAACTTGTTACTAGTATTCTATAGCACTTTTTCCTAAAATGCAGTAACTGTGTACCATTTGTTACTTCTATTTTACTGGATTTAGTGTACGTTTGTATGCCATAATCAGTATTCTTGATATGTAGCAACTGTTTGCCACCTTTTAGTAGGCTAATACATTGACATAGGGACATATGCTGCTTTCTATTCTCTGATACTCAATAGTCAATATGAGGAAACACTTTTCTGACTTAACTAGAGTTCTCAACAGTATTTTTCAAATCCGTAACCAGTTTCACTTAGTTTGGAATAGTGCAATTTTTTGGTAGCATGTTTTTGCTAGGAGAATAGTGCAGTTTCAGTCAATAATTTTTTATTTTAATTGATAGGAGATTAGTAGTTCAGACAATCTGAATTGGTGCCTTAGAGCTATGTTATGCTCTGGAGAGAACAAACCAGACTTCACACCCAAGTACAAAGACCTCCTTGAGATGGCACAGTCGAAAATCAATCCTTTCTTTGAACAAGAAGAGAAGCGGGACACAGACAATTTCTCCGCCAGACACGCCAATGATTTTGAGTTGAACTATAAAAAAATTGATGCGTTACAGAAAAAAATCAATGAAAATACATTTTGTCTAAGTGAAATGCTTGAGAGGAAGGACGAAATTCAGCATGCCATTTGTGAAGGTTCTTTCTTGCTGATATTTTCTTTTATTTGTTTATTTATTTTGCATTAATAGAAATTGCTCTAAATAGGAGCAAAAACGTTTTGAAATTCCAAAATAGGAATATCATGTTTTTTATTCCCTGAATAGGAGTAATCTGCCAGGTTTGGGAAAAAATGCCATGTTTTAAGCCTAGTAATGCCAAACTTGGCAGAAATTTACTCCTATTCAAGGAATAAAAAACATGATACTCCTATTTTGGAATTTCAAAATTGTTTTACTTCTATTTAGGGAATTCTCTCTTGCATTAATTATGAAGTTACTTTTGTGCAATATATCCCCTTTTCTGTTTTCCTAGCATAAAGATCACATGTTTCTATTGCAAAACGTGCTCCAATTTTGCAGAATCTAGGAAGATTCAGTGTGTTGTGCAGGAGCATGTTCAAAGGGTTGTACATGAGCATGAATGCCTTAATTTGGAATTGGAAGACAAGAAGCAGCATCTGGATTCTTGGAGCAGAGAGCTGAATACTCGTGAAATCATGTTGAAGCAAGAAGAGCAAAAACTCAAAGAGGAGAAGAAAAAGGTAACAGTGAATATTTATCCTTGTGTAGAATTCAAACTGTATGATTGAGTTATTTAGACTGCAGTTATTGTTTACAAAGCACATTAGGATTTGTGTTCAATCTAACTTTTCCATCTTTTTCCTACAGCAAAATATGAAGCATATGGGAGGCAAGAATGATGGAGATGCACAGGAAAAACAAGTAGACAAGAAAAAAGAAAAAGTGGAGGAGAATAAAAAGGTACTTGATTACACCTCTAATGATCCAGTGTACTGATTATGTACACTAGAAAGTATCCAGTTATATATTGTAAAAGATGTATTATTGAGGAGCTGCTGGGTTTGCCATTGATAGAGAGGAGATGACGGCTTACAAAACTGAAATAAAATTGAAGAAACTATATCTAGAAGAAGAACCAAAAGAACATGAAATATCCAAAGGTATTACCCAGCAAGATTAATTTGCCCAACGGCCTAGGGCTGCCCAACTAACTCTAAAGAGTCCTGAGTTGTCATAATCTCTCAATGCCTCCTAGATAAAGGTGACATTTTTTTATAATCTATCACACTATTTAAATAAGATAAAACATACTCCGTACTACATTCATCCCTTAAAACTTTGCCATCTTTGAGTTTTCAAGTCAATAGTGGTAAAGCTTGGACCATAATTTTGATTGGTATAATATTATGAAAGTTATAAAATTTATACTTTTATGGAAGTACTTTTAACAAAGAACATTTTCATATCATTTTTATATTATAAATAATTTCCTATAAAAACAAATAATTGGTCAAAGTTGAACATGATTGGCTGATTGCCCAAATAAATTAAAGATGTCAAGTTATAAGGGATGGAGGGAGTAATTAATAGTCAACTATTCTTGATACCATTAATCTCATTTAGTATGACTCTTAGATTGATTCTTCGATTTCTTCCTTCTATAGAGGTTAGAATATTTGTTTTATCATTCTCCTTGATTTTCTCTGCCTCTATTAGCCATCTTCATTCTGTTCAGAGTATGCTTCCCACATTGTTTTTACTTTTGTTGTGTACAATGAAGTTTGCTGTGTTTAATGCACATTTCAATTGTGCAGAGAAATCGAGGTATGATGGAAAATGATTTAGATGACAAACTCAGACTTGAAATGGAGATGGAAATCAAAGATCTTAAGGTAAAACTAGAAGACTTGTCTACGCAAAATCTTGAAACGAACATTATTGATGGGGAAGATGTGTAGGAGAAACTCAAGGACATGACTGGTCAACTTCAAATGAAAATGGAAGAAATGGAGGAGTTAGATGTCCTGAATAGTACTCTCATTTCAAGGGAACGTCAGTGTAATGATGAGTTGCAAGGTACTCGTAAAGCACTGATTCAGGTATATATTCATATCACTTGGTCCAATTTGAAGTAGTCATACAACTTAGTGAAGTTAATTGTCATTTCATTAAAACACTAAATGGTTTTAGAATGGATGGTGAGTTCTGTTTATTTCTTGAAGGGATTCAGAGATGTACTGACTAATGGTCGTTCTCATATTGGGATAAAACGAATGGGAGAAATAGATTCAAAAGCCTTCCAGAACACATGCAAGCAAAAGTTTTCAAGCAATGAAGCCAATATGAAAGCCGTAGAACTATGTTCTTTATGGCAGGATAAAGTGAAAAACCCTCATTGGCACCCATTCAAAATAATCAAAATTGATGAAAATTCTTCAAAGGTTTGCTCATTCATTAAATCACTCATGTGCCCTTCAAGATATGTGTGTGTGTATAATGTTATGTTGTTATTGCAAACTCAGGAAATGATAAATGAGGAAGATGAAGAACTATGCACACTCAAGGAAGAATGGGGAGATGAAATATATGCTGTAGTTACTAAAGCTGTAGAAGAGATCAATGCATATAATTCTAGTGGAAGTTATGAGGTCCCTGAGTTATGGAACTTCAAAGAAGGAAGGAAGGCCCCACTGGAGGAAGTCGTTAGCTTCATCTTCAAACAATTGAAAACTCATAAGCGGAAGAGGACATGAATGGGTGTGTATTACAGTATCAATAGCGCATTTTCTTTCTCAGCCCTCCGCAGGCCTGATTAGTTTTTATTGTCTTGAAAGTACTTTGTCACCCTTTTTGATGATGAGGTGGAAGTGTTGTGTAGGTTTTAATGTCATACTCCGTATTAGACTATTAGTTAGTGGTGTACTCTTGATCTTTGATAGAATGCCATGCCTTTCTTATCTTCTTTAGCACAATTATATTAGGAAAATAACCGTTATTCCTTTCCTATCGTATTTTCTTTATTTTTAATACTAGTATTATTTTAAGTTGAGCAAGGATGTTTATATTAAGAAGACTAATTTCAATATCAGACCAGATTAGGCTAACATAGATTTAAATAAAGCATATTAGAATGGACCAATTTTCCATCATTTTTAATGGAACCAAAGATTCACTATTTTTTGGCTTGGGAATATGATGAAATAAAACAAAATAGTTCACTAAACTGTCTGCGCTTCTTTATCATGAAACAGTAGTCAGTGCATGCAATTTTCGATGTGAATTTCACTATGGGTCATTCAGAAACAGTCTCTTAGTGCTTTAGTACAGTGGTAAGACTGCGTACATCTAACACCTCCTCACCGGCTCACCCCATCGTAGATGGAAGCCTTTGTGGCATTGAGGTAATGATGATGATGATATTAGACTGGACCAAACTTAAACAGAACAAGCCAGAATATACTTTAACGAATCAGACTAGATTGGACTTCTACAATTATAAAATACACAGAGACTAGACATCAACATATCAAATCGAATCAGAACAGATCAGAAAATTTCAGTCATACAGTCATACTAAACACTTCATAACTTTGATTTATGGTTACATGGTAAATTATGTTAAATCATAGTAAAAATGATACTACGTATTTAGAGTTCATTTGGTGATACTCATATCAGCTGCATTGAGTGATTCTGGTGAAATTTATGAACTTCTAGATGAAGTGATTGGATTGGCTGATTTTCCTTATTTTTTTTACCCCGGAAGGCAAACCACCACAATGAGTGGGTAATTGTCGGATGAACATTTACCAAAATATTATTAAGAAGTAAAGAGGACAAAAAGAAGAGGGGGACATAAACCAATACCCCTTCTCAGAAGGCATACCTTCCCAAACAACAAAGAAGGCCAAGATAAAAAATACAAATAAAAATCCGGATCAAAGAGATGGCCCAACAAGCAGAATGCGGAGAGTCCAATAACCAACATCCAAAGAAGTCAAAGTCAAATGACAGAAGGCAAAGAATCAACATCTAGCCCAATAGCAGCCCAAAGTTCCGTAGGAATGAATTGGCCCAATTTCCAAATAAATTTCAAGTGTAAACCCAATTTAGCCACGATTTGGGCTGCTTTATTTGCTCCAGCTGGAATAAAGTCCATTCTCAAATTCTCTCGGCCCAAATCAGAATATGCCAACTCCTTAAGTTTGAAATAGGAAACGTCAGTCACCACATTAGGAAACCCATGTCCTTCCGCCCAAGGCATCGCCTGAAGAAGAACTTCTTTCTTTGTCACCCACGATCCACTCAAAGGGATGCCCAGCGTTGCAACCATCGCCCCTGCATGATCCCTAAGAAGAAATCCGACAGCTGACTTTCCACTTTATTTGAAGATCAACCAATTTAATTTGACTTGGGAAACTTCCGGTCTCTTCCATCTGAATAACTGGGGCTTCATCCGTATGAAATTCAAAGGTAATGACTCTAAATCTTGCAACTTTTCACCTCCTTTGAGATTTTTGTTCGCCCAACACCAATTAACCATATATGCGATTATTTGATGAATTACCACCTCTCTATCTGGTTTTGAGGCATTCCAAATTGTGTTCCAGTATACCTTCCACAAGTGCTAAACTATCACACCAGGTATAATTGCTGTCACGCCCCGGACCCAGCCGGACACGTCAACGACCCGTCGTACGGTACGAATAGTCAACCGTAGTCCAACTCATCCATACTATACAAGGCGTCATGAATATCATTCACACATAGTACATCCATAAACAAACATAATGTAAAACATTCATTTAAAACAGCGGAAGCATTAATACAATTGTTCAAGCCACACTTGGCATAACTAGGCATACAAGCCCCCAAAGTAATTGTTCAAAAATAATATCCATGAGCATTGTTATAATTATTTTGAAAACAGGAAACAGAAGAAGCACGAACCACGTCTTCTCCCTTGAATACCCCCGAAGCAACGGGCGCCGGTAGCAACCTTCAAGCTCTACCTGAAACTGTGAGGTGGCCTCCCCCGTGAAGGGGAGGTCAGTACTTGGAAATATTTGACAAGTACAATAGCAACTATACTAAGTATAATCAACGTTTTAATTTCCAAGACCCTCAAAATAGAGTGATATCATAATATAAATAACAATTTATATTTCCCACTTATTATCTTTATAATAAGTGAATTTATTCATTTGTCGGCACAAGGCCCTTCTTATATGTTCCTTTTCATTTATCATTTGCACAATCCAACCCTTGGGTCTTATTATTTCTACGGGACTTGCTACCGCTGTCCGAGACCTCATGAGGCTCCCGGTTCGGACTCCAACATCCCGCCCCTGGACTCGTACCCATCATCCCGTAGGAAGGTAAGGCCCTTCGGGGTCCTATCTTATGTGTTACCGCTACCGGAACCTAGTTAGGTCTCCGATTCGGATTCCACCCTAACCCGTGATCACGATGTAAGTCCATGCTATCCAACCCCGCTCTCTAGAGTCGGGAAGGGCCATGGTCCTTACTATTTCCATAATTCAACCGGCTATCCACAAGAATTACCGATCACGCCCGTAGGCCAATCCTATACTTAGGATCATTTTAATATTCACTCTATCTTGGGTATCCCTTAAGGCCTACCCCTAGTATAACTTAAGGTTCATACTTTCCTACCTTAAAGCATCTCTTAAGACTACTTAAGGCATAACATTTCACAATCCAACCTTAGGATCAATCTTAACAACATTTCATTTTAATGTCCAACTAGTATCTTAATACTAGTCAAATTAATATCAACAAACCAAGTTCTCAACTCATGGTCATATAGACAATCCCAACTGATTTTCCTTTGAAAACATCATTTATCTCAATATCCAAAATATCACTTTTAATCACTCATATATTCTAATATGAAGAAAAAGTATATTTCAACACATGTTTCATAATAAATTCCACTTTCAAGTCAACATAGTCATAACACATGAACATACACAATTTATTCTTAAATTTGTATATCATGATCCTTTTTCTCTAGACATTTAGTCTTCATTTTTAGGCATTATTAATCATTAATAATCCATAAAAACACATTTAATTACCTTCGGTAATCTCATGAAATTAACTCACTAATTATAAGCAATATAGTCAGCCATCCTCACCTTATGAAGTGCTGAAATAGTTGCCTTTGCTAAGCCCCTCGATCAATCCCCGTTCTAGGCCGATTGAAGGTGTAAAACTGAGCTGTTGGACAAAAGCCGGGCGGCTTTCACGAAAGCCGGGCGGCTTTCGTGTTCTGCAGAAACGGGCAGCTCCCTTAAAGTGGCGGTTTCCGGCGATTTCGACTCCTATCGATTCACCAACTCTTCTAAGTTAAATATCACCACTTTATATCAATACTCTACACTTTTAAACGTGTAGAACATCATGTTTAATCCACCATATGATTTCTTAAAAATCATACACCATAAAACTAGTTAAAAGAGGGTAGATGAGTTCTTACCTTCTTCTTAGCTAGTTTTCTCCTAGGATTTCTTCCTCCTAGCTTCCTCCAACTATGGCCTGCTGAGATAGCTTCCTGGAGCCCTTCTCTCTCCCCTTGTGTTGGTTGAATGAGTGGAATGGGAAGGGGGGGAGGCACCTCTACTTAATCAAGCAAAATAATGCATGAGTAGGGTCCTAAAAATGGCAATTTTGACTCATGCCATCCCCTCACTTAATGACTCCGCACACACACACTTTCCATGGTCTCCTCCAGCTCCTCCCTTGTCTGCTGGAGTCTAAAGGTACGTGGGGTGGCCCCCACTTAGGTGGGAGGTCATCCCGTTATGTCTCGGTGCGTACAATTGGTCCCGAAAGTTGTATTTCTCGGTCCGTTTTAATTATATTTTATTTTATCGGGCCAAATAAAATATATCACGTGTTCCTAATAATTATGGGCCTTTAGAATAGATGTACATTCCCCAACATTAATTTAGGAGTCTCCGAAACTCATTTCGGGCTGTTATCCGTTAAATTACCAATACCGGTAATTGGGCCCCGTTTGACCAACCGGTCAATCCCATGCCTTTCTTATGGCCCAAATAAAATATCCACCACCATATACATATTATCTAGACCAAGATGAATATAATATGTGGTTCGGGAATTATCGGGCGGTCCCCGTCCCGCTGTGGGCCCCACATGCAATTTACTATTCACGTAAAAGAAATAATAAAAATTAACAATTACGCAAATTCATAAATCATCTTTCAAGGTTCATTACATAATTTACTAAAAGTAAATATGCTCGGGGTCGGTGTTACAATTGCGTTGTACAATTGGTCCATAGATTTGCCCTTAGTTGTAATCCACCGGTTCATAAGTTGATTTTGGATATTAATGACTCTACCCCCTCCAACCTGCAGAGTACTGTTAAAGAATTTCCACACCGAGTCTAAGAAAGAACATTGGAGCAAAATGTGATCTTGCGAGACGCTGTTGTGGCTGCATAGGGGACAAATAGACGGATAAATAGCATAGAATGAGGCTTGCTGCTCCGGGAATGGTAGACTTCTATGCTACAATTTCCACAGGAATACTTTGATCTTGGGCACTTGTCTTTTATGCCAAATGTGTGTGGTATATAAAGCTCTTCCTCCCTGTGTCCATAAAGCCTTGTAGGCTGACTCAGAAGAAAATTTTCCATCTATAGTGTATTTCCAAACTAGGGACTGAGGGCCCCTAGAAACCATGCCCTCGGCTTCTTCATGGGAGAGGCAGATCCTCTTCCAAATGGGAGAGTCACTAGGTTTGTACTTCCCTAATGCCCTCTTGCCATACTTACTATTCATAAGACGAGACCAAATATTCTCACCAATTTGAAATTCCCACCATAGCTTGATACCAGAAATCTTTTGGATATCACCAAGAGACCTAATACCAAGACCACCACAATCCGTAGGTTTGCATATCTTACTGAAGCTGATCCAGTGATGTTTCGTCTTATTATTATATCTTCCCCAAACGAAGTTACTAATCTTCCTTTTTATCAAGTTCATCACAGAAATGGGAAGATAAGTGACAGCCAAAACATGAAGGGGAATCGAACTGAGTACATGTCTGATTAAAATTAATCTGTCCCATGAGACAACCATATGTTACTCCACTTAGATAATTTTTTTTCAAGCATGTCTAAAAGATCTTTGCAATGACTCACCCTGGTAATACCTTTGTGAATTTGAACTCCTAAATACTTGAAAGGCAGTTTAGAGACTTTCATCCCTACTATGTGCTCAATGTGGCTAATTCTGGCTACTGTAGTATGCTTCCCAACTACAAAGCACGATTTATCTTTGTTAACTAACTGTCCAGATGCCTCCTGATAGTAGTGTAGAAAGTTGTTGAACCTACTAATTGACTGGGAAGAGCCATTGACCTGATGTGCCTAATTCTAAGTAATGTGGTTACCTCCAGCTTTGTTAATTTTCGCCGTTCGGCTGCCTGATATCGTTTCTTTTGTTGTACAGGCTTGGCATCCGGCCGAACGGCTAACTTATGACAAATAATCTCTGGATCAATCCCCAACATGTCCTCCGGCCCTCGGGCAAACAAAATCTGAAACCCTTTTACGACCGCAATCACTCCATCTCTTATCTCTGGCTCCAGGTCTGTTCCGATCGCAACCCTCCGATCGGAAGGTGAGTCAAGCTCAACGTGTTCCAGCATTGTGGCCGGTTCAGGACGTGCTATAAACTCCGTTTGTCGTGTCTCTGTCTCGATATTGTTAACCTGCATGCCACGGGTATTAATCTTCCTCATTGCCTCCCGATAACAGGTTCGGGCTGTTGCTGGATCTGTTCGGGCCACCCCTACCCTGGTGTCCGTTGGGAATTTAATGCATGAGTGCCTCACATAAGCTATGGCCACCAAATCATCTGATCCTGGTCAGCCAAGTATAGCGTTGTAGTCACACTTGATATCTGCCACAACGAACGTTATCTGGATCTCCGCTCGGTGCACCTCAACTCCAATCTCGACCAGAAGTGTTATGGTTCCTTCGACATCAATACAATTCCTCGTGAAAATTGCCAATGGTGTCTTCCGGGGTGTCAATTGGTCTCTTCGCAACTCCATCTTCTCGAACACGTGTAAATACAGAACGTTCACGCTGCTTCTCGTATCCACTAACACTCGACGGATAAGGGTGTTGTCAATGCACATGCTTATCACCAATTCGTCCTTGTGCAGATTTGGTGATGTAGGCAGATCGACTGACCCGAATGTGATTGGTTCAATCCTGCCTTTCTTCTGGGGAGGGTTGGAGATGGACGTGACATATAAGCTCCGTTCGAACCTCTTCCGTTCGGCAGTTGTATCCCCAGTCTCTCCCCCTCCGAAGATAACTCTCACCTCCATCCTGGGTTTCTTCCCTTGGTTCCCCGATCCTTCACCATCCTCCCTCGGCTGGATGCACACATCGTTCCTAGGTTTGGCCTCACGTCGATCGTCCTTTCTCCGGCTATTGGATCTCTTGTACTATTTTTGGTTTGGGGGAGGTCCATTCAGGTCTCTGCTCACATACTTACCCAAATGGACTTGTTGGATCAGCTCCTCAATTGCAATCTGGATTGCCCGACAATTTTTGGTGGCATGTCCCTTTCGTTTGTGATAATTACAGAAATCATCCTCGCCCCCCATGTAGGCCTTCGTATCTGTTGGAGGGGAATTGAGAGGACAAGTGGGGTGAACCGCTTTGCCTTGGATGGTGGTGTGGCCGCTGTGTAACACTAGAGATTTAATTTAAATGAATTAATAGTATTACTCATACCAACAAGATGCATCTCCTTTTAAGGGAGCTCATCAGCTAAGAACTCCAAAGTTAAACGTGCTTGCACGGGAGTAGTCTTGGGATGGGTGACCCCCTGGGAAATTTCTCAGGGCGCGCACGAGTGAGGACAAAGTGCGCGGAAAAGGCTAGTGGCGGTTTGTGAGGACAGTACTAGAGGTCAGGAGTAACTACCTCGGGTCCTGCGGGGTTGGGGGTGTTACAGGTGGATCAGAGCAACCCTGCGACGGTGTGTTGATCCGTTGAGTATTGGGCGGGCACTTAGCGGGGGAGGATTCTGGGATTTGATTGAAATTTGAGATTGGATTATGGGCGCAACGAGGACGTTGTGATCCTATGTGGGGGTGATTGTAACACTTGAGATTTAATTTAAACGGATTAATAGTACTACTCATACCATTAAGTTGCATCTCCTTTTAAGGGAGCTCATCAACTAAGAACTATAAAGTTAAGCGTGCTTGCACGGGAGTAGTCTTGGGATGGGTGACCCCCCTCGGAAATTTCTGAGGGCATGCATGAGTGAGGACAAAGTGCGCAGAAAAGGCTAGTGATGGTTTATGAGGGCAGTACTAGAGGTCAGGAGTAATTACCTCGGGTCCTGTGGGGTCTAGGTGTTACACGCTGGAACAGGTCCCAGCCGATCGGCCAATCTCGTGGGTGCAGCAGGTGGTGACACTCTGTCCCTGATCATTATTTCCTCTTTTAGGGCAGCGTGCTTCCGAGCCCTTTCCAGCACTTCAGCATAACTCGTGCATAGGTTCTTCTTCAGGTCTCGGTATAGCTCCCCGATCTGGAGGGCGTTGGTGAAGAGGGTGATCCCGGTACACTCAGTTTGATTCTCAACCTTCAATGTCTCATCTCTCCATATTGTCAAGAACTGGATGATGGATTCTTTTGGCCCCTTGCGGACACTTGTTAGGTAACTGAAGTGTCGCTTTGTGGTAGCGTTAGAAGCGAACTGTGCCAGAAACAATGTAGAGAGTTCGGCAAAGCTCCCGATCGAACCAGGATGTAACTGGCCAAACCACTCCTGTGTCGGACCCCTGAGTGTGCTGAAAAATAACCTGCAAATAGCTGCATCAGTGGCTCCTAGCAGCATGAGCCCTCCTTGATAACTCCTTAGATGTGCATGGGGGTCTCCTACCCCGTCATATGTTAGGCCGTCCGGGGGCCTACGGTCCCTCATAATTTTAGCGTTCATGATTTCCCTAGTCAAAGGAGAAGTGATCCCAACGCGAGCCGGAGGGGCCTAGGGAGGTGTTCGATTTACCTACTGGGTCAACTCAGCAATCTGCCTTCTCATGATTGCCAATTCCTCCTCCTATGTCGTTCGGGGTGGTGTTCTCAGATCCACCTGTTAGGAAATTGATGTATCGTACCTCGAAAGTACGGCAGCGGAAATTTTAAAATTTTCCCAAACAGATCTTCCCTGATTATGACAAAATAACGAATATGATAATAATAACAGATCTGAGTTAGAACTTACAGATCTTCCAGCCTAGCGGTGATAATCATTGACTTTTGGTATCCACGTGATTTCTCCTTTCTGAAAGAACGGTTAGATCTCCCTAAGAGAAAGACTAGGAAATCTCTTCGCATGGAAATAAACTGGTAATACTAAATCTGAAAATAGGTCACTTAATTATGATGGAGGAGGATGTATTTATACTAGTTCTAAACTAGTTTCCCAATCACAATGAAAGTCTTTCTCATTAATGAGTTGTAATCTAATTAGGACCAATCTCATCTATGATTTAATTATTATTAATTAAATAAATCAACCAAACAAATTAATAGTAAGATGAAAGTTGGCTGCACGCTACTTTCCATCTTTATTATTATTTATTTTAGTTTTCTTTTCTTTTTAATTCTAAATTATAAAGAAAAAGTACCAACTTTATTTAATTAAGAATACATCTTAATTAAGTATAATATATCTAATTTATCACACTTAATTAAATCTATCAAATAGAATTCTTCTTCAACATCACGAATTAAATATAGTTAATCTAACTAATATTTAATCCATTTTTAGTATTACGAATTTAATATTATTTAATCCAATTAATATTTAATTCCTTCTAACAATTCTATTGGAAGGTATAATCACTTGTTGTGTGACCCATAGGGCCTTATATATTAAGCACTAATCAAATCAAGGTCTTAGTAGAATCCCTAGACGATTTACCAGACAAACTTAATATATAAGGACGTTTGCGAGGACTATTCAAACTCTCTGTAATATAGAGCTCATAGTGATACGGTCCTTTCATTCAGTGAACATTCAACTAAGTCTAGAACATGATATTTTGTCTATCCCAATAACTCAGTCTCTGTCTCTCAATCTTTCTAGATGATCCATAACGATCATATTCGATATCCAAAACGAATATATCTTTGCATTGGCCAATGGCTTTATGATCCATCTAGATATGAGAAGTAGAATGTTCTCTCTTAATCTATTATGAGGAATGAATCCTTTCTTGGCTCAACTACTACTCCATGTGCTTCGTGATGCAACCAACACATGCCGTATCTACCCCGATTGGAGTGCAAGCGTTGGTCATGGTCAAAGTACATCCCTCCGCACATGTAGTACGTATTGGCCTCAAGTCGGAGGACTATTACACTACTCTATACGCCGATAATCCCATAGACACATGAATAGAACTTATCAAATGGTTTCTCGGTGGGTATGCCAATATTCTCTAAAATATCTATGTGACCATCATGAATTACAGGAACTCATAGTCGTGAGATCAACTATAGTTTCTAAAAGTATGATGTAGTCCACATACCAATCTTATCGCATATCATCAATATCTCATTCTTGATGATCATTGATTGGGGCTATTTTAGGACCTTATGTTATATCATATAAGCTCCCACTTACTTATTGACAACATAAATTCAAGGGAACACAATTACGAATAAAACATTGACAACCGAAAAACAATCATTCATAAAGTGTAATACCGTGTATATATCAAATATAAAAACTAAATGTGATCAAGTACATATGTCTTTAAAAAAATGATTGTCGCTAGGACATATATACTAACACCACCAACTCCAGGGTTCTCTCTCGTGGGGGTGCCGGTGTCTCCTTACGTCTCCGTATGAATCGGCTACCATCACGTTCCTCATACTGGAAACGTCATCCCACCGACATTATTTCCCTGAACTGTGCCCCATATCCAGGGAAGAAAGGGGTACGGTCACTGGGACTGTGCTGCCCGTGAGTGAACCGAAGCTCTGGTGGTCTCAGTATCGCCAGTGACTTCGTCAAATGATCACATCGGACTGATCGGGGAGGGGGTAGTGTACCCTATTTCAGTGGTGTAGTTGGTTTGTCCTCCATCTTGCTCATCCGCCATTTGGCGCATTACGTCAGTTAAATCCTGCATTGCATGGCGATTCCTCCTAACTGCCTCGGAGATTATGAAGTCCCTATCGTACCTCCGATGTCACGCCCCAGACCGCATCTATGCGCGTGTACAACCGCCGTATGACCAAGTGACGTCACTCGCAAGTCAACGTGTCTTAATCATACAAGGCGTCCATTAACATAATATATCCATACTCAGTGGTAAACATACACAACAACATCACAGTTTAGATTAATTGAATGGCGGAAATATTAACCAATTAATCATGCGCCACACATGGCCAAAACGTAGGCTCGCAGGCCAAAACAATGTATTAATACAAAAGTATCCATGAGCATAGTTTATTTTTTTGAAATAGTAGAGGGAGCACGAACTACGTCTTCCTCTGGATTCTCTTCACCCGTGCAAAGGTGTAGATGACAAGCCTTAACTTCAACCTGAAATGGTGGGGCCCCCCGAAGGGGTCAGTACAAGTACCGAGCGAGTAGCAGGCTAAATATAGAATAACTAGCGTTTCAAGTATAAGACCCAAACATAGGGTGATACTTATGTAAATAGTCTTTTCCCCCAAGTTAAGAAATACTTAGTAGTACATATACACTTGGAAAATACCCGATCCGTAGATCACCGCTTTATTTGGGAAAATATTAATAGTCAATATCCTTGACTAAAAACCCCAACTCACCCATATGCCTGTGAGTGTATAGGACTCCTCCTTGTCCATACTTCAATATCATAATCTATGAGTTTTGAGGATCAAAATCCTTGGGTACTCCACCAAATTTTTATTTGAGTGTTAAGGACTTTTAATCCTAGGGTCCTCCACCAATTTATTATCCGAGTGTTAAGGACTTTAAGTCCTAGGGTCCTCCACCAATTTATAATCCGAGTGTTAAGGACTTTAAGTCCTAGGGTCCTCCACCAAAATATGAGTGTTAAGGACTTTTAAGTCCTAGGGTCCTCCACCAAAATATGAGTGTTAAGGACTTTTAAGTCCTAGGGTCCTCCACCAAAATATGAGTGTTAAGGACTTTTAAGTCCTAGGGTCCTCCACCAAAATATAATCCTATGATCAACCTCCTATCAACCTAGATAAGATCTATATCATATTTATTCATTCATAGCTAAATCAATACATAAAGCTTATGTATCACAATCCATGCAAAGTCATGCGTTTATATAACTTCATAATTAACTAATACCATCCGGTATCAATTAATCCATTATCCATCGGTCAACGTTTTCGTTGACCGCCATTTCAAACCTTATACGTATCAACTTAATCATCACATAATTAAGTTAATAATGTTCGTTTGTGCTCCTCTTACGCTTCAAGCAAACATGCATTTTATATAATTCCTCATAACATATTTCATGCATAAACAATTAATTCCTTTCATACAAACTTAACCATATTGGCTAATCACATGTTTAAATACCTTTTAAACATAATTATGAACACATATAACATTTATTTAGGTAATATCATAATTAACCCAAAAGTTATAAGATATTAAGCCGTCCACTCACCTCGAATTAGCGTTATGAAGTTCTACCCCTCTCGGTTGAACTCCGGCGATACCCCGGCGACTTTTGACGAACTCCGGCGACAACTCCGGCGAACTCTAGAAACTCTTTAGTTAAGCTCCTAACATGTTTTTATAATCACAAAACCCATATTAATACAAATAACCTCAAAAATGTTATTTTCCGGCGAACCGTTCGTATTGGCTTCTAAGTCCGTTCTTGGACATAGAACCACTTTCCAACCCATTCTTCCAAACTCATACCATGTAGAAAAATCCTAAGGGTCCTTCATATGATATATATCTCATATGATAGAAGAAAAATTAAAGGAAAAGTTATGATAAGGTTATTACCTTAATTTTCACACTTTTTCCTAGGTTTTTCCTTCTCTAATCTTCTTCCCTTGCACCCCTTTGTGTTGAGCTCGAAAATGGAGGATGCTATGGAGTATTTTCAGAGCTTCTCACTCCTTGGATGGCAGCTGGGTCGAGTTAATGGGGATAGGATTGATTGAGAATGCCTTTTTGGCATTTCTCTCAATCATACATGAAAGGGGTCCACTCCCTTAAATGTGTTTGGCTCCCAAATCACCTCATGGCTCCTTTCCCATGTGATGGTGCGGCTACCTTGTCAAAAAACAAGGCTAAAAACGTGGGTTGGCCCCTACTTATGTGGGGGTCATTGCTTTGTGTCCCGTAATGCACAATCGGTCCCGAAAGTTGTATTTTTCGGACTTTTTTAATTATATTTTATTTTATCGGGCCAAATAAAATATATTGTGTGATTTCAATCACTATGGACCTTTAGAATAATTTTAGATTCCCCAACTTTAATTTAGAAGTCTCCGAAATTCAATTCGGACTGTTATCCGGTAAATTACCAATACCGGTAATGGGGCTTCGTTTGACCGACGGGTCAACCCTAAGCCTTTTCTATGGCCCAACTAAAATATATATATACCATCATATAAATATTATCTAGACCAAGATGAATATAATATGTGGTCCCGGGTTTACCGGACGGTCCCCGCTCCCGGTGTGGGCCCCACGTGCAGTTCACTATTCACGCGAAAGAAATAACCAAAAATTTACAACCACGTAAATTCACGAATCATTATTCAAGGTTTATTACATGATTTACTAAAAGTAAATATATTTGGAGACGGTGTTACATCCGAAATGATCCTCTGCCGGAATGCCCCTGGTTAGACCGACTTCCTGGTATTCTGCTGTCCCCCCGCCTTCCGGATGTGCCATCAGTCTGTTAAGAGGAGATTGTGACCATGTTGATTGTTGATTAGTGCCCAGTTTTGTGTTTGCTTGGGATTTTTGTTCAAATTCCCACAAACGACGTCAATGTTGAGTTTAAGTCCTGAATGGATCATAAGGCCCAACACAAACCTTTGTATCTATGATATAATTGATATAGTAACGGCGTATAATGAAATATAAAAACAGATAGAATAACTCAAAAGCTCCAATTGTATTAGCACAATAAATGTGATTACAAGGAAATGACCGAACGGGAGTTACGGTCCGCAGTTCTAATACAAGAGCTAGAATGAAGTATAAAGCTTATGAGTAAACAATTGCTACCCCTAACAATGCAGTAAATGATGCTATTTATAGTAGATGAGGGTAGGTGGATGGATGAGGTGGCGAGCTCCCAATGGTTGCCCCTTTATCACCTGCAACACTCATACCCCACTTGGTGTGCCCATGCTCCTACTTGGTGTGCTCATGTTCCCGCAGTAAATGCACCCCTGCCACTTGTGGAGAATTCCCATTCGGGACTTGGATCAGGATGGCCCGCATCCGAGGGCAAAATGTCTTATCCACCAAGTGTGGAGCCATACTCGTCCGGGGTCTACCGGACAGTTATCATCCAAATGAATGAGAGCTCGATCGGTACCTTGGTATATGTCTGCCGCTCTTGGACCCCACCCATTCGGGACCTACCGAACGGTTGTCACCCGGAGAATGAGAGCTCAATCGTTGTCTTCTTGGACCTCAGGGATATTTTGGGTCGGTATATTGGGCCGGATCCCAATATCCCAAGTCCCAACAATATATTTTGAGCTTAGTATTTAAAAAAATATTTTTCTAGTTTTAATAAAGTTTTGTATGTTTTTGTGCCTTTTTGTGATTACTATTTTTTTCTCCATACATTTTGGAGTTTATACATTTTCAATTTTTTATAATATTGAGATTTTTTACATTTCATAGCATGTTAAAATAGAGAAAATCTTTGTTACAGTTAATAATAATAATAATAATAATAATAATAATAATAATATTGCTTTTAAGCTTCCAATTGCGGTATGATATAAAAGATTAGTGCGGAGTATTTGGGTTTAGAATCCTAGAGTACGTATTAATAAGTAGGGTGGGGCGGTGCACAGATGTATTAGTTAAGAGGCCGTTTGGTAATACTGTTTTTCAGCTTATCAGGCTTATCAGCCATCTTTTTTACCAAACACATAACTTTTGCTTCTGCGCGCTGAATTGTGTAATAAGCAGAAAAAGTAAGGTTGGAGTTACTTTTCTGACTGTATTGGCTGAAGTTACTGTAGACAATCATTTTAGCTATTTTTACATATAATTTTTTCCTTATTTTATTAATAAAATATATTTTAAAATTATTTTTTTCTTAAATCAGCAGAATCAGCCAATGCAGCCACTTCAGTCAGAACTTCATAAATTTCAGCAGAATCAGCCAAATCAGACGATTTTCGTGCTACCAAACGGGCTCTAAGTATAGTGTAGGCTTTATGCTTAAGATCTACTCGTTTTATTGAAAACAAAAACTAAAGTAGTACTCGGTATATTTTTTAAAACAAATTTAAAAAATGATAAAAGTGATATTATTTTAGCTCATTTCCCAATTCATAAGGAGGCCCAACCCTCACGCCAGCTTCCATATCCACCCTTCAGGTCATTCTCCACTTAGTGACTTCAGATCAGTGCATTAGCCGAGGAGAATCCCCGTTAGCAACCGGAAAGAAACCAGTACAACGTCTTCATTCTTAAAGGTGAGACTATTTTTATCCGGAGAATTTGAAGGGATAAAACCGTGCAGAGATTGCTGGTTATGTTTGTTTTAATCTTTTTAGATCTATTGAGAAGCAAATTTAGGTATCAGTGACCATTCAGACATAATACTCTCATCTTCCCTCTCCAACAATAGAATTTGCAGGCTTACATTACTTTTATGTCCAACGATCTGAGATTATTCTTTACCATTTCATACATTAGCATATAATTTTCTTTTACTATGATGTCCAATGTAAGAAAAACATTTTGCTAACCTATAAAGTTTGTGATTTACTCCTATTTTTGGAATATTCGGTTGTTTCTTAATAAAATCTTGCTTTTTGATGGACAGAAATACTAGCTCAGACGAAGAATCAGACTCAAGTGAGTCTGAGATCAATGATTACAAGGAGAAACCTTATGAAGAACTTTAAAGTAAAAGGTCCAAATGGGTGCCTTCGATGTCCGTTTTTTGCGCGGGGAAAAAGAAACAAGATTACAAGTAGAAGGATCTTCTTCAGCATGCTACAGGAGTCGGCAAAGGTTCCGCAAACAGGTTAATACAGAAAGCAAACCACTTGGCACTGGCGCAGTACTTGGAGACAGATCTAGCAGATGAGGCTGAGCCACTACCAGAACGAGCAGTTCAACCGGTCCATGTCGCTTCTGAACAGAATAACCTATATTACTGGCCTTGGATAGGCATTGTTGTGAATGTATTGGAAAAAGGAACTGAGAATGCAGTAGAGGAGGAAGAGTTTTGGTTAAAGAAGTTTTCAAAATATGGGGCTCAGGAGGTGAAGATCTTCTGTGATGATAAGTCGCGCACTTCTGAACTTGCTATCAAATTCAAAAGAGATTGGACCGGTTATAAGAATGCATTGGAGTTTGAGATGGCATTTGTGGCTGACTGCTGCAGTAAGAGAGACTGGAATGCTCAAAGGTCCTCACCCGGATCAAATATATACGGTTGGTTTGCAAGAGAGGATGCTTACCATTCAGATGGGGCAATCGGTTATTACCTCCGCGAGATAGGGCAGTTGAAAACCATCACCGATCATGAACAAGAAGAAAAGATGGACAAGATCAAAGTTGTTGCTGATCTAGCAAGTGAGATTGACTTGAAGAATAAAAACCTTGATGAACTGCAGACAAAGTTCAATGAGAAGACCTTGTCCCTGAGTAGAATGCTTGAGGAAAAGGACATACTTCACCATGCTTTTGTGAAGGTGATCTTTACTTTTTCTTCCCTTTTTTGACATGCGCGTGTTCTTTCAACTACATTATTACTTTGTGGGTTGCTTGTGAAGTTATGACTCATGACTTCTGATGAATGTTGTGCTTTTTAATCCATCATCCTTGCATGGTTTCATGAAACATCATTCTTTCATATTAATAGCACTTCTCTGAAATATATAAAATTGTGTACTTTGGTCTTTCCTCGGTATAACGGTCAAATATATTTATATTCCAGAGTCTAGGAAGATGCAGCGTCTTGCACGGGAGCATGTCCAAAGGGTCTTGCATGAACAAGAAAGTCTGAATACGGAATTGGAGAACAAGAAGAAGCAGCTTGATTCTTGGAGCAGAGAATTGAACAAGCCTGAAGTCTTGACTGGGCGTGAAAAGCAAAAACTTGAAGATGAGAAGCAAAAGGTAAAAATGATTGATATTAGCATGAAGATAGTCATCTTATCTCGCCTCCTTATGTAGGGTGGGTAGACATTGTCCTGTGTGAGAACCTATTGAGAATGTACACAAACTTTTTGCTTGATAGTCATCATATCTTGACTGCAGCTATTATTATAGAAAGCACCATTGATTTGTACTGCTTTTTATTTTTATCCTAAGTTCATTGGTTTTATTAGCATGAAGATTGTAGAATATATCTACAGTCTACCACATTTTTGGAGACATAATGAAGAAGAATGCATGACTATATCTGTTTTTGTACTTCAGAATGATGCAAGGAACAGTTCACTTGAAATGGCCTCCGAGGAGCAGAAAAAAGCTGATGAAAATGTGTTAAGGCTTGTTGAAGAGCACAAGGTGGGTCACATTAAATTCTCATCCCCCTAATTCCTCTACTAATATTATGCACATCAATTGAATTATTACGGAGTATTTTGTAAGATAAAGGATGCAATGTTTTGCCTATTGTATACTGCTTTGCATAGTATGGTTGGCGCCTTACGTATAGTATTTTCTTTGCTGTATGTTGAATCCGCAGAGGGAGAAGGATGAGGCCCTACAAAAGATACTCAAGCTGGAGAAGGACATTGATGCCAAGCAGAAACTTGAAATGGAAATAGAAGACCTGAATGGAAAACTGGAGGTGATGAAGCATATGGGTGGGGAGGATGATGCGGCAGTGCAGGCAAAAATTAAGGAGATGAATGAGCAACTGGAATCCAAAAGGGAGGAGATGCAAGATTTGGATGAAATGAACAGTGCTCTGCTGAAGAGGGAACGCCAGAGTAACGATGAGCTGCAAGAAGCCCGCAAAGCACTGCTGCAGGCGTTGCCTGATATGCTGAATATACGTCATTCTCATAGTGGGATAAAACGAATGGGTGAGATTGACTCCAAAGTCTTCCAAAACGTCTGCAAGCAAAGGTTCTCTAGTGAGGAAGCAGATGTGAAGGCCCTTGAACTTTGCTCTCTATGGCAGGAGAAAGTGAAAGACTCCAACTGGCATCCTTTCATCATGATCTGAAAAGATGAAGACAACTATGAGGTTTGTTGCGCTTACTCATTAAATTCATGAAGATGCCCATGTTTTTTGTGGTTGAAGATATGCACTGTCACAATTTATATACACACACGACATATATAAAAGTATATACTCCGTATATACTTTGTGATTGCAGGAAAAGCTAAATGAAGAAGACAAAGAGTTGCGCGATCTGAAGGAGCAGTGGGGTGATCCGGTGATGAGATTCATGGGGCGATCACCAAAGCCCTGAAAGAGGTGAATGAATACAACCCCAGTGGAAGGTACGTGGTCCCTGAGCTGTGGAACTTCAAAGAAGAAAGGAAGGCCACCTTGAAGGAAGTTATTGCCTTCATCTTCAAACAGCTCAAGACTGGGAAGCGGAAGAGGGCTTGAATAGCCAGTTGATGGGAGGGCTTAGTGCACCCCCCCCCCCCCCCCCCCCCCCCCCATATATGAATACATTATATGAATAATCTTTATGTACTTGAAGTTTAAATCCTTATCAAGATTTCGGTTTTGGTAAATATCAAGATTGTGAGTCAATAGACATGACGTTTCACGAGCAAAGGAAGAGCTGATTGAGAATGAGATGTCGTTTAAAATAAGGTGGCATGTATAGTTCACGCGCACAATTAGGGGTAGTGAGGTGGGATATCAAATACTACGTATATTGGTACTCCGTCCGTCCCTGAAAATCCTTCCCACTTTCCTTTTTGGGTCGTTCCAAAAAATTCTTCCCACTTACCATTTTTGGACAATTTGTCTAGTTCAAATTCATTTCACCTTTTTTCTTACACAACCACAACCATACATTTCCACTTTATTCCACTTTCTTAATATGTGTGCCAAGTTAAACTGGGAAGGATTTTCAGGGACGGAGGGAGTATATTGGTATATTCAGTTGACTGCTTTTCCGGTGATATCAATACTTATCATAAGAAATAATGAAGAATAGAATACTAAAGTGAACCTTATAAACAACCTTAGTAGATAGCCATTTCTTTGATGTAGAGTGAACATTTTTTCTACTAGAGCAGTATCCGTGCGGTTTTGTTACTTTTGTTGTCCTTGACTTGTTTGAGTAACATTAAACGAAAAACCTCCTAAATTTAATATTATTATGATTAATTAATCAATAACAAAAATCATTCAACTACATGGGCTATGTGGGCGGAAAACTACTAAAAATGAACATCTCTTCTAAAAAACAAAAAAGCACTCGCTTTTATAAAACTAAAATCCTAACCAACTAAACGATGTAGTTAACTATGAACATTGTGTACTTGTGTTAGATATTAGTACACATTAGTCAAAATTAGGTTTTAGTAACATTTGAATCATTTAAAAATATTTCCATTGTAAATTTTTGACAGGTTGGGCTTTCTGAACCTAACTGCAAGATAGGTAGATTAGATATCTTATGCCCAATTTGAACCTAGAATGTCTACTTGTATATCTTGAACACGAGTTGGAAATGTCTCTTAAAAAGAGGCCATCTTTCTCCATTACATGAGTTGAAATGTTGTTGATTAGTACAAATACGTAATTATGGTGGTGCTTAGGAGCAATTTGATTAGTTATGAATTGGAGAAATGAAATCCTCCTCAAATGATCATTTAGACTTTTAGAGCATAAAACATTCATGAAATGGACGAAGCAACATAGTTGTCATACGTATTTTTCTGATATTTGTGTTTTTTATATTTATGTCATTCAACCTAAGTGATATCAAATAAAGAAGTAAATTGATATTTCCTTTTACCATTAAAATAAAATAAAAAATCAGACAAACATCTAGAATTCAATGATAAATGTGCAATTAGTAACATTGCATCTGGTAATTTAAAACTTCTACTAGTGTTATATATTTAAAGAATGTTTACACATTTTTATTATTATATTATTGGTAGCTAGTGTCATTTTATCAAAATATGATGCTTAACTAAGAGTTAATTATTTGACAAAAAATAAACTTATGAGTTAATTTCTGTATACATAAACTCCAATTTTTGATAATTATTCGTAGATTTTAAAAAAAATTCACATCTTTCTTTTTCACTCATGGGGCTCCTGAGTATTTTAATTACTCCAAACGCTTTTTTTGACAGTCTACTTAACAAAATTGCGACATAACCAAAGACGGTGCAAACACAAAAAGCACCTGCCCTTAGTCATGTACTTCATTGTTTTATGGCCACCGACCCTTCCCCATGAGGAGCAAGTTACTGGACTGAACTGATTGGGTCTACATCACTGCCTAAACATCATGAAAGTAATGCACAAAGGAGACTTCATAAGTAAATAAACATCACGACACACATTTTAACTCAAGTGTATAATAATTATACAAAGTAATCTTCTTCAAGCACACAAGTACTTCGCAATCACCTACACTGCTCTCATTTTCAACAATGTCTATTCTCCATTTTCAACTCCTAAACCATACAACACACCAGCATACTTCTCCATAGACCCACTGAAGAAGTTCTCTTTCAACTTCCTGAAAGTGCAAGCTGTAAGCAAACTATCGGAACCAGCTTGATGGCACACACCAACTCTCTCCACTTCCAATAGCTCCGCGAGCTTGTTTAGCCCACCATGGAGGCTATTGCAGAACTTCATCAGGTGTTTGATATCAAACACAACTGGGAAATACATGTTGATCAGGGCAAAGAAGCCTGACTGTGTATCTGGCAATGGCTGGCATGACAATATCTTGAGAAGGTACCCGAAATCATACCCACTGTGGAAAGTTACCCAGTAAACACTGTCATTGAGCACAATTCCGGAAGACATAAGAAGCTCCCCGAATCTTCTTGCGTCAATGCCATTCTCTGCGTTCTTCTGGAAATCGATCCCGCTCTGGCGAAGCAGCTCGATTGAATCGCTGGCAAAGACATCTTCGTTGGGATTGAACTCTCGGAAGTTGAATTGCCAGATGCAGTACTTATCTTCAGTCCCTGAGGTTGGAAGGTTACCCTTTTCGTCAGAGAATGTGAGCCCTAGCTGTATCAACTTCAACATGTCAACGTTGTTTTTAAGAGTCTGGTAATGGTAGTCGTTGCTGTTCTTGAAATTACCTACAGGTCGGATAACAATGCCTGGAAACTCTGTGTCCATTGCGATGTACGGATAATCATCCACAATTCCTCGGATTAGGGTAAACTCTTCTTCCAGATTATAATCCCACACATCTCGGATCTGGACAGAATCGCTTCTGGGCAAAAGCGACATCTTCCAGTTGACCCTAGAATTGCTCACAACAAATAAACCCCAATCAATAATCGCACGAGATCTCTCTTGACGACCATAAAAACTCAGGACGTTGATAAAGTCCAGAACGAATCAATTTCGAATCCGATCTGCAGCGAAAACACGGTTTCCACACAGATTTAGCACCAGAAAATCGTAATCGCAGATAACAACACACATACGAACAGAAGCGTGAATCGAGAAACGAGAACAGCGTGAGAATCTTACCGTAGATACAAAAAGGTTTGAACTTTGGACCTTAGATCGACGAAGCTCTCCAGAAAAGGGGGGCTTTGAAAATGGGATATACGAGGAAAGAAAGAAATATGAGCAGAATCGGAGGTTTTCTGTAATTAATAAAATTGAATATTAGCTCCCTTTGGGTGCTTTCTAGAGACACGGGAGGGGCCCCTTCACAGTTTCACCTCCCTCCAGAAACAACACAATGAATGAATGCTGTAATTTGCCTTCTTCCAAATCTGCTTTGAACCAAAAATGTCTTTGCTCGCGCGTTCATGTTGGGGTGGGGGGCTCACATAATAATTACTCGTATGTTTTTTTTTTTGGTTTTCACTTTTTAGGATAATTTTTTTAAAAGGCTAGGAGGAAAATACTATTAATAATTAGTCAACAATAATAAGAATAAACACAAAAAAGAAGCCTAGGAGGGGAAAGCGAGTAGCAAAAAAACAAAGCTCTTCCCTCGTAAGAAAAGAAAGATAGACTTTGGTTGAATAATATAGTTAGAGAGCAGAAGGAGATGAAGCGGAGGAAAACTAGTGGTTTGATTGAATAATAACCAATGGATTGGGGGTCGGTGGGTGTACTCACTCTTATTTAACTTTTTATTTTTTTACTTTTTTTGAAAAAATTGTTTGATGAATGACACAATTTCTATACAAAATCCAACTTTTTAATTGGATTGAAATGTTATTGTCTCATAAGATTAATTATTGGTATTGTCTATCTAATAAAGGAATGATCTAATCTGGTCTGAAAGTATGAACAATCCAAATAAAAATTGATAGTATTATAAGTAGAAAGGAACTGCGGAAAAGTTTAGAAACAGATAATGGTGGTCTTTTCGTTATTTCTTTTTTTTATTTTAGTCACAATCAGATGTCTTCTTTTTTTATTAATAAAAAAAGACCAAGTACTCTAGCCCCAAACCATGTTCTAAATAACTAATTCAGACGTCTTCTCGTGGTTAGGTGGAGAGAATTTCTCCCAAAATTTGAGAACATGAAAAACAAATGCTCATCATACAAAAGAACTTTAGCAACTAAAGACGTTGACAAAATAAGCTCACCATGCAAGTAATTCATGAATTAGCTCTATCATTTGTAGCCAACTCTTCGGAATATGTTACTTTTGCCTTATTTATGTCCCATCAAAATTTAAATTTATGTTCACATGAAAACGAATTAGAATAACAAAAGAATTGTAGATAATAATACGAATATTGAAACACAACTCGGAATTCTGCACCTTCGACAAACGTTAAACTCACAGTATATATTATTGTAAACCCTTGAATAAAATTAGCAAGTTCCATGAAAGTCGCTATATACTTTCAAATTAAATACAATCTTTTCCTATTAGGAAGTAAATAATAAGCCAATTTCTTTTTATACCCTTAATTATTATGCTCATCTTCCGCCCAAATCTCACAACTTGTTTTAAGTCCTCCTCCACCACTCGATGATTCAGTACTCCACTCTAATCTTTACAACGTCCGATTCTCTATTCCTCTGTATCTCTTCACTAGCATCATCAACTTTCATCTCCCACTTTGTTTCTTTCAATTCCACATCCATCTTCCTCTTATTTCATTTCTCCAATTTCTTCCTCAATGAAGGACGTGGACGGCGATGACACTGGTGGTTTTGCTTCGCTTACTCTCCCATGAACTACAACCTTTATTTTGGGGGTTCTGGATGCTCTGTCGCCGTGAAAGTGCGGTTCAATTTCACCGTGAAGGAGAGTTTATTTTTTTATTGTTCTTTCTTTTGACTTTCAGTTTCAGAGAAGAAGAATGAGAACACTTCAACACCAAGGTAGGAATCATCATCAGCAAATACACCCTTCGCATAGTTGGAGAAGGTGATAGAAATAGGCTTCTCTGTGAGTTTTTAGATTTTTGTGGGGAAAATACGATTGCACTGTAGCACTTTACGAATCCAGCACTTTTCTCCGTGTTCTGAAGGGTAAAACGGGAAACTAAAACCCTCTTTTGTGAGGCAAAGGTAAAGGACATGTCGGGTCTTCTTCTCAAAACCGAGATGATTTTGAGACGACTTACAACTGGAGAGATGTGATGTCCGATGATCAACTAGC